AAGCACATATGGTGTTGTATTAAAAATTTGGAGGTAAATCCAGAGTTATGAAGCGGCAGGAGCAGCACTTGGAGGCCCAATGCAGCAAAACAACTTAATGTCAGTCACTAATCTAGTTGCAGGTGTTCAGAAGAGCAGAGCTCAATTAAACCAGATTGGCTTTCACACAGTTATTCAAATTAGTTTAGAATCAAACCGCTCACAAACTAAATATGCTTACCTGGGCAAAATCGCCTTCTCCCCTTCAACTCCCCCACTGCTTCCTTACCAAGACACTGTCAAGATGGGAGGAGCTGAAATAAAAATGAATTTACATTTAAATCAGCCTGGAAGCGGAACAAAAATGTGATCAGGGTCTGTGCTTTTCCCACTGCCTTAATCAAAGTTTTGATGTGATGACACACACCCCGTGAGAAGTTACAAGGCTAGTATCTCCAGAGAGGGCCAAGGTAATAAGTTATTAATGTGCTGCCCATGCTGCAATTAAGCACCAATTAAAACCACAGGTTGTGTGTCTGACATATTACCAGACTCTAAACTCTAGACTTTTAAACCTCTTCCTGGCTTCTGGCTCACTTCTGAGTCTCATGAATTGCATTTCACATTTACTGGTGAGAGTGCAGAAGATTGAAATGGTAGTGGTGTTTAGCACAAAAAGCAATTAAAAGCTTTTTCTATTATTTTAATATGAAGGTTTCTGGCTAAAATAAACCACAATTATTCTAAACATGTCAGGTTCTCTGCTGTGTGTGTGTATCTGTTGATCTGGCAAGCTGCCTAAAAGGACTAAATAAAGTTGCACAAGATTTGATAAAACAACCATATGTGGGAAAAAGTTGTTCCGATTTGGGGTCTATCGGTCATTTTGTAAATTAGATGTCACTTTTTTTGAATGGAAGTATCTAAGATTGGAAGCAAAGTCTTCACTGCTAGTATGATTAGATATTCCTAGAAAGAAAATCATCAGTCTTCTGGTTGACACTGCAAAATGCTGAGCAAGCCTCTGCATCTCAAAACCCAGCAGCTGCTTTGTAAATCTTAATTGCAAGATTTATATATTTCTCTCAAATGTATTGAAGAAAAAAATTGAAGCATGCTGTAGTGGGCGGGTTGAATTAATCACATCACTTAAAAATACTTGCATCCAGATATGCTGTAACAGAAGTGGTGCTGGTGTTGAATTAATTATTGTCTCTGACCTTCATTAGAAAAAACACTGATCAGTAAGATACACTACACAGTATCTTTAGATAGATTCAAATGTAAGCCATCAAAGTACAATAAAAAAAAATATGTTCCCTCTGCCATCACAGCCCAAGTACAGCTGAGGATGAAGTTTGACAACATAGAGCTCAGTATGACAACCTGAATCACCTAAGAAAGGCCAACTTCACTTTTATTCTTGTTGTTTTTTCCCCCATTTTACCCTCCATTCACATTTTCTCTCCCTTTCACCATATACCATTTTTATGTTTTTTTGTCTTTTTTTATCTTGATTTTTCTCTTCGTGTCTGTCTGCCTGTATATCTCTCTCCTTATCACATTCACTGGTCCAGTTGAGAGGAGGATCAGTCAAACTCCATTCACTTCATATCAAATAGGACCTATTCTCCTTCCATATCATCTCTCTCTCTCTCTCTCTCTCTCTCTCTCTCTCTCTCTGTCTCTCTCTGTGTGTGTCTGTCCTTCGGTCTTCCCTATATCAGCAGTCTCCGGTGGACTGAAAGAAGATCAGTCTATCAGTGCAGTACAACCCCCTCTCCCATCCAATCTGACTATTTTTTCTCTTGATGTTATCTTTGTCTCTCTCTTGTTCTGTCTATGTGAATGTTTGTGTGTGCGTTTCTGCCTGTGTTTCTTTCCGTCTCTTTGTGTGGCTCCCTCTGTCTCACCGGTCCAAGAGATGAGGATCAGTCAAATCCAGAGGGAAGTGACCAGCATGTTAACAGAGCCCAAAGCATCCGTTGGAATCGTGGCCAGGGTCGGATGGTCAGTTGAGGCTAAGTGAGCCTGCCACTGTCAACTAGAGGGAGAAAAGGCCCGGTGATCCACTCAGTCAGAAACTCACACCTGAGGTTGCTGACAAATGAGAAGGAAATTAGGGACAGTGGGGCAGTTGAGGCAAAAGAGATGTAAGGTGACACCTAATGAAAGTGTGATGAGTGTCTTTTCGGTAACACTTTACAATGCGGAACACAAAAATAATACTACTTCAGTATGATGACTATACTTTACAGTGCTATGGTGGCTGATTCACAATTAATAAGGAACAACTCATGGTTACATGACCATTCATTAATATAATGTTCTCTAACTCATATCTACTGTATAGTCCTTGATTCAGAGTTATTCAGGAACTACTTATTACGATTCATTAGTTATCAGGTCATTCTAGTTACAACTTTTTGTACAGTGTTACCAAGTGTTATCGTCCATATAAACAACCTCTCATTTTTTATTCAACCTAGAGACACGGTTCACCGTTAATGAAGAGGGTTACTGGTACTATTCTTTTATTGACTTTGCATTAGATGTTTTGCTAAAAAGGGCAAGGTTGTTGGGTATTCTATGTTTGACACTGCATCACACTCAGTTTCTGCCTTTAGTGTGTTACATGGAAACCTTGGACCTCAACCAGCTATACTGATGAAAAGACTCCAAGGGAACATTAATGAGCAATTTTCTGATAATACAAACCCATTACCCTTGCGGCCAACATAATACCAGCAGTTCATTCTGTGAATATAGACCTTGTTGCATTTTCTCAGGAGTAGAGAAATACTGAGCTTTTTTTCCCTCTGGCTATATTAAACTGTGAAGAGATGAAATGATGATCAAAATCAGCCAACAATTAAAAACATTGAAAATTAAAATTTTCAGATTAAGATTGCATTGATTCAATATCACCACACTGCATGATATGGAATGCAAACAAAATATACAATACAAACATCAGAAAAGAATAGCATCTGGCAGGAACCAAGTGTAACAAAAGTAGAACATTCTTCTACACCTACTTTTGTATCATTCAACTCTAATAACAAATGGACAGTTTAAATAATATTCCCCCTACTACTCATCATTATTACATTCTTGCATTCAAACAATTATTATAAAAGACTCTCTGACTATGCAAGCCTTTATATTTAACAGTGGCCTTGGAGATTTCTGCAAACCCAAGTTTCAAATAAACTGTCTGTAATTTCAGTTCTCATACAAAAGATACTTTCAATGTAAACTCCTGTTCAAATTCAGCATAAAGATGATGAAATATTGAAGCTTGCTTTGCCACTTCTGTATGAACTGAATCTTTCAAAGTTTATTCAACAGTCAGTTTCAAGCACCTGATGTTGTCACCTTTTGCTGTGAGATAAGACACACATCCAGTGTCACACATGCATGAAGGGTGGATATTAAAGTACTAACAACTTCTGAACTGTAAATATAAAAGCATCTGTGCATTAGTGTTTAAAGAAAAATTACATTAACACTGTTTGCAATGGACAGTGATCACTGAATATGAAGTATATTCTCAGCTGTCTTTTAGATAAAATGAACACGTATTTCAGTCTACTTGCTCTAAAATGGTTTGACAATTTACATTTCTTTGCCTTGCATCGGCAAGTTTGGAACATGCCATTAAATGTATCCACCTGACCTCGGACAGTGAGCTTGCTCACTGTGGCTAGTAACGGTTGATGGTGACGTGATACTGATGTGTCATTTAGCTTCCACTCTTTTACTACGCATTTACTAATAAGGGCAAAGGTAGCTCATAGTGTAAATTGTTATTTTTAAATTCAAGGATTGGAACAATTCACATTTGGCTTAGGTTAATTGCTGTACCTGTCTGGTTGACAGTTCCAGTCTCATCAAGCTAACCTGAGTCACATCTTTGTGTTCATGTTACTGGACTTAGTTAACATTTTTACTGTTGCCTTAAAAAGGGTGTGACAACTTCACAAAGACTAAATTAGTTGCACTGTCATCTTTGTTGTAGTTCTAACATGTGGAAAAATTGTAGATGGCACCTTTAAAGCGAGTACTCCTTTAAAAATGTTTTACCTTTTAGATTCCCTGCAGTCATTTCTTTTCACAGATCACTGCTTAGTGTGTCAGCTCCTCCTTGTTTCAGTGATGCTTTTTCCACCCACACAGGCTTATCAGTTCTGCTAGAGACAGTAATCAAACCATATATTGTACAGTGTGTGGAGGGGATGTGGGGGGTAACCTGGTAGTTTTTACTGCAGGGCCAGACTAGCTGAAACTCTGACAATAACATATTTTAAGGCCACCTGACATGATAGATGAGACAGTCCACCCTGTAGGATATTACCATTTTTCTGCAGTGCCTCCTTTAGTCCAACTCTCTCTCAGCCCAGTGCTTGAATCCTATAAATACTGAAAGAGTGGCACCCTTTTAAAGTTTGCTCAATTTGAGCACTTGTCTTGACAGCAAATTTTTGTTGTTCTTTTTTTTCTCCCTTGCAGACGCCACAGTTTGCATTGGAGCTGGTTTTGTGACAGGGACACATTCATCATGTAATAAAGTGATGCAAGCTGTTACAAAATGCCAAAATGAAACTCAGCGACTGTGGGTCCTGTACAGTAGTGAAGAGGAATTGTAGCTATTTCAGGGTTGTTCTTTGGTTTCATGGCCAATGATGTCCTGTTAGACACGAATGATTAACCCTTACTGATACCAGTTGAGTGTGTATGTGTGTGGTGAGAGATAATTTATATTTGTTTTAATGTTGATGATTGTTTTCCCATATATTAGTTTGTTGAGATTTCTACAGAACAGCAACCCTAGTTGTGAGCTTTTCTACATATGCATATCTTGTAGCAGCATTACAAGTTCACGTTAATCATGTCTGCTAAGCTTAATATTCTCAGCCTAATGCAGGCACATTAAAAAAATAAATAATTACAGAACGTGCGGCTCACCTTGATGGCCTTTCTTACATTATAGTGTGTGTAAAAATTAAACAAGAACATGCTTCAAGATTCACATACGTTTTATTCCATTTGAGCAAGTTGCAAGCATAACTATCAAATCATTTATCTGTATTTTCTTTTACAGTGTTTTACTGCCACCTATTGTTAAGGCACAGGACAACTATTACTTACACAAAGAGGCTTGAACAAATGAAAGGGTCAAAGTAGATATTTGACTAAATAATTTAGCATTAAAAACTATAACCCATAATATTTTCTTTGACATGTTATAGATCCTTGGTACAAGCAAAGCATTTTTAAAACATAACTAGTATGGCTAAAGCAGCAAATGTTAAAGCTTCCATGAACTACAAGTCAATACAGTGTGACAAAATTATGATAGAATTGAGCAAAGTGGATATTTGTTAATAGAAGTGTCTCAGATTATTGCTCTAATACTAAGTAGATCTGTATTTTCAATAGAGGATTTCGAGAGTCAATTTCATGCAAGAAGATTTTCATAAACAGTGCTCTGTCCCATCCATCTCCTAAGTGATGCACTTTATTGATGCAAAGTGAAATAGGCAGCTGCATTATCTCCCTTTATTTACCCTGTGTACAGTAATTTTTGGTTCCTGCAAGTTCGGCACAACTTCAAGTGGTCATTACTGTAAAATCATAACCTATTGCCACTCATAGGTACTGCCTCCAACAGATGGGACTGGCAAGGCAACAACAGACCTCTCTCAGGTGGCTGTTAGAGGTCAAGTTGACCAAAGTTTACAAAGTTGTTGGCTTCAGACCAAGCAGGGTGCCGTGACCCATCCATCTCAGAGGCGACTTGATTGTTACTTTCCAATCTGTGATTGGCCCCACCAATAGTAGCATCACAATCAGTGCAGCGTCGACTCACCGTAGCACCTCCACACTCTGTTATAAGGTAGACATGGCCATTAGGACATTTGTACCAGTGCCCAGGTGGCATTTTCATAGCCGAGACGATCATCTTTCTCTCCTCCTCAGTGATCCCCAAGCCTGTGGATGGAACCTTGTTGTCTAGGTCCTTCATGGCTTCTTTGACTCTGAGTTCATCTTCTTCCGTGAATTGGCCAGACCTTTCCAAAAGCTCTCTTATTGTTTGTACCTCAGACTGAATTTTGGCACTTTGTCCTCTCTTGTTTGCCATATCACAACGGGCACTGAGTTCAGTCAGGTGAGAGAGTCTCTGTAGCTCTCTCTGCAAATCAAAGACCTGCTGGTCTGTGAATCTTTGGTGGCCATTCGTGAGCCAGCACACAAACTCATCAACATACTTTCGCAATTGTTGTCTTTGCATCAATGACACTTTTTCACTTTGGATCTTCTTAAGCTTTTCAACTCTTACTAGGAAATCCATCTTGTTTTCCAAGACCCACAGATCATTTGCTGTGAGATACGTTTTTCCCAGTCGGACCTTGATATACATATATTCATCTTGCTGATCCATTTTATAGGTGAGAAGGTTGTCCTTCCATTGATCTTGAAGGTTCTTCCTGTATGCTTCAATGTCTGCCTGACGTCCATTTATCTTCACCTTTACCATCTCTATCTCAGCTAGACTGTTGTTGATGTGAGATCCATAGCGTAGATTTTTGCGGATTGGAGTTCGACACTTTGGACATTCCTTCAGTTTTATGGCAACCTGCTCTCCTTCATTTCCCTGTTGGTTGTCATCCATCGCCATGTATGTGTCCATGGCTGTGTATTCAATGATGTGCCCACAGTCCTCTAGCTCAATGAAGTAAGCCTCAGGGTCATCCTCTGTGCCGAAGAAAATCTCTGTGACCTCATTGTGATGACAGATGCGACATTTTTTAGGACATTTGTCTCCACACAGACCTATGCATGGATGGCCGCAATCCAGGGTCTTGGCACAGGGTTGGGTGCATGGTGGACGATCACATGGCTCATGGCAAAGTTTACTGCAGCTTTGATGAGGGCACTGCGAAGCGCAGGGCTCAATGCATGGAGCACAGGGCTGTCCACATGGCTTCATACACTTGCTGTGGATGCAGCAGTTCTCACATGGTCTCAGACAGGGGGGGCAATCACGAGTGCAAGGCTCCCTGCACTTGTGAGAGCAAACCAGGAGACGCTCACACTGGTGAAAACATGGGAAATGGAACCTTCCCTGATAACACTTGCCACAGTTACCACGACACGCATGGCCACATTTTAGCTGATGCTTACAAGGGGTCCTACATTCAGGCCCCTCTATTTGTGTTTTGTAAAAGCAAGCATCTTGCTGGCTGTGGCCGCACCTTAGTTTTAAGTTGACCTTCACTTTGCACTTAATGGTGCATGGTTCTCCACAAACTGAATCACATGGATGTTCACAGTGAAGCAACTTCTGGCAAGGCTCCTGGCACGTAAAGGTCTTCGGGTCCTGGTGGCAAGGAACCATCTGCGTGTGTTGACACTGGGGTATGATCTTCTCAACCTTAACTGCACATTTCTCTGGACATGCTCTGTGGCACACAAGTGTGCACCTGTGTCCCAGTTTGCATAAAATCTTCTGGCACTTCTTGACACACTTGTACTTCTTGTGTTCAGGGTCGTAGGGGTGGCAGACACTTGAGCAAACATGGCCACAATCCAAACGGAAGTTGCAAGGCTGGGTGCAGCCACCCTCAGGCGCTTGTTTAAAATCTTCAGCACATGACGCTCTTATCTGTCGATCTGGATGATTCTGACAGCACAGAGTCAGAGCATCCCCAATCTGGTTCTTCTCCCTCAAGGTGTAGAAGATGTTGCTCCACAGTTTGACCTGTCCTAGCATTGCACTGTTGCCAATACAGTAAAGACCTTTCTTGGCACGAGACAAGGCTACACAGACACGATTGGGAATGTTCAGAAAACCAACTTTACGCTGCTGGTTGCTGCGGACCAGAGACAACAAGACGATGTCATTCTCCTCTCCCTGGTACTTGTCCACCACGTGAACTTTGACCCCTGTGAACTCGCTAGCAGGCATAAGTTTGCGCAGACAGTGAAGCTGGCCAGTATAGGTTGTGAGGATGGTAATTTGCTCTGGTTTGTAGTCTTGAAAGAGAAGATAGCGACAAAGAGCGACTACAAACATTGCCTCATGCCGGTTTTGATGGCTTCTACCATCTTTGATCTCTTCTTCTGGGTGGTTGTGCTCCACGAAGAATAAATTGGTATTAAGGCCCTGTAAGACAGCATTTAATAAAAACATATTCTATGTTATTCTTTGATATTTATCATATGCTTTTGGATTCAATATTCTTAATCTTGCATGCAAGATCCACACAGGGAAGTAAACAGATATGAGAGCAAATAAGACATGCACCTTGATGTTGTCATAGTCAAAAACAGAGGGATGGTTTTCCAGCTCTGAGTAGATGTGTGGGGTCAGTAGACAGGCAATTTCTGGCCTCATACGATGCTGAAAAACAAACCAAAACAGACACATTACAAAAACAGGCAATCACATGGATACAGATGCATGCATGCACCTATAAACATACACACAAACATCAATTCAAGTATAATGTTTTTAATTTTTTTGCATCATCTGAACATGTACATGTTACTGATAGATAGATGTTACGATAAGGTGAACGGTTGCAGAAATACAAACCTGGTAGTTGAGTCTGACAAAAGGAAGTCCCATCTTCACAAGCCTCTCAAACATGGACATCTCCAGGTGGAAGTTCTTAGCAAGTTCGTATACTGTGGCACTGGGGCGCAGCTAAAAGAAAAATCACATTTTCATCATATGCTCTTCAGTTTTTATGAATTATTGAAAAGTAAAAAATAATTAGAACCTGGGGTCTTGTGACCCTAACATAGAGGCTTTTAGGGCTAGAAAATATGCTTTTATAATTAATATAATATTCTAATGCAGGTTTGGTCATCTTTCTAAAGCGTTTGTAATGTTTGGAGCTCATATGATATGCACATGTACCCGAAACATGATTGTGCAACTTACGTATAATATGGCAGGTTTACTGCTTATATTAGCATATTTGAGTATATATAAGAGCCCAAGATCAGGTTAACAATAGAGGGATGTCTTTCATGGTCGCATGCATGTGTTGATCAGGCCATTTGCAGTTATGTAAATGCTATTGAACATTTATTACACAGTTCCTAGACACAGGTAGAAGCAACCATTTATACAGAAGCAAGCCTATAAGGGATAAACAATATTCTGCCATGGGTTTCAGTTTTAGAGTGACTGGATGGGAATATAGAATGTATGCAAATGCCCTCTAACTTTCTTTTGCTGTCCTGTTAAGTTTTTCACTGTTTTTCCTGTATGTGTGTGTGTGTGTGTGATGTGTGTGTGTGTGTGTGTGTGTGTGTGTGTGTGTGTGTGTGTGTGTGTGTGTGTGTGTGTGTGTGTGTGTGTGTGTGTGTGTGTGTGTGTGTATACCTACTTTAGCTAGGACAGAGTGTGATTGTGCATGTATGTGGGAGGGGTGTGGGGGAGGCAAGACAAATTCTAGTATAAATGTGAAGCATTGTGTTCTGCTCGACTCAACACCAAACCTGTGATTAATGAACAGCACAACAATGCCAAAGCTTATTTTACTCAGAAAGTGTGATCCATCCACCTCCATTACATGCACAGATTCAAGTTTGGGCTCCACAAAAACAAAAGCTCTGAACACTTGTTCATAGAGTCAAATGGCTTCAAACCCATGAAATAAACAGATTAACTCATATTTGCGCAATCAGAAAACGTCATCTTGTTTTCCTTTATACGTTTTCTTTTGTGTGTGTGTGTTTTTTTTTTTACCACACCTGTGCTAATTTAATTATCCAGTAGTTTAAATTGATAAATCAGAGATATTTTAATATTGATTTATTTTGCACTTGTAGTCAACATGTCTGGCACATTAAATTATGGCCACTGGTGTAAAACAATGAAGGGAGCCTGAGGCGCATTTGTAAATTACATTTATATTAATCTGATCTACCTGATGTATAAAAATTATCATGGATTTGCAAGCCCAAGTTACAATAAAATTAATTTTGAAGTCAAACTCTATTTTAAGTTTAATTCTTATACTTGTTAAACTTTCAGTACAATTGAAGTCAGGTTTGTTTGTATAGTCAAATGTGTGCATCAATTCATGCATAAACATAGTACAACGAGCAAATATTAGGAGAAGAGCAGACAGAAGTTTCCCAGCAAGATGAGACCAGGACAGAATATTGAGATGTGTGAGAGAATTGTGTGTAGTTGTGATTGCATACTGCAGATTGCTAGACAGGCTGCCTGGCCATATGTCCTTGGCAGGCCCTGACAAGTTGTTGTAATAGTCAAATGATGTCCAGCATATCACTCCTCACTCTTCTCTTCTCTATCTCTTGTAATGGTTGGCATGGAATGTTTTTATTTTTGCTATTTCCCTGAAGGCAACACACACAACCATACCGACAACCACACAAATACACAAAATCTCTCATGACAGGTTGTCCTTTAAATTTTCACCTAGGCATGTAAATTGGGCAATTTCAGTCCGAGAATGATGATTTATTCAAATACACCAGCGCACAAACTGTCATGCAGAGTTAAATGAGATGCCACCAATAGTTTTAGGAATCATTGCCCGATCTGTCTATTTGTGTGGGTTCCTACTTGTTGGTGGTCTCCGATGAGGATGAGGTGTTGGCATGCTTCGCTCAGTGTGGTGATCGTGTGGGCCTCAAGAACCTCTGCAGCCTCTTCTACTATCACCAGACGTGGACGCACTTCCTGCAGAACTTTACGGAACTTGGCCGCCCCTGTTGTTGTCATGCCAATAACCTAAATGGACAGTGCATGTGTTTATTTACACATGATTCATTCTATTACCACATATGATCATTTAAGTTTTGACTAAACAAGGATCTACTTTAGGAGGAAATATCCTTCACACTATTTATTACTGCAAATTTCTGTACCGTGGCTTCTTTGAGGAGGCAAAGGTTCTCATGGCGTTTTACATCAGCCAATCTGTCCACTGTGTTCTGATAGGCCTGCTCAGACTCGAAGACTTTGGCGCAAAGTTCTGCCCTGTAGCGCGCCACCCACAACCTGAAGAAACAAAACAAACTAATAATATTAAAACATTGTGACAACTGATTCAATTATATGAAAGCCTCTAAGACCTCTAAGACTCTCATGATTTGCTCTTCATCTGGAAGTATATGTCTGTCTTAGAAGAAAATGGCTCTATTTGTTAGTTTCAATGATAATTAAGATTATGTAAACAGGAGTCCTTACAGTCCTGTTTTCACAGTAATAGAAGTTACGTCTTGGCTCTCTGAGGTGAGAAGTATCCTCTGGGATACATTTTCCTGATGATTAGTTGACTTAATTATACACACTGGGAATAGACTACTTCTACCAGACTAAGGCTGCTTGGGGGGTGAGAGGCAGCATAGGAAAAGAAGGAAGACAAAGACAAAGAAGTATGGAAAGAGGACAGAAATGTAAGAAAGGTACTAGGAGGTACATAGTTAGTGAACAAAGGAAAAAAAATGAAACAGATGTAGACCTACCGATAGAGTCTCCATCTGTTTGGCAGGCTCAGGGTCCAAATATCCAAGACAGCATGTTCCTCAAGTTCAGTCATAGTCGAGCTCTTCCTCACCTCTTTCCTGATTTTGCTCTTCATCTTTTTCTTCTGTTTGCGCTGTATCTGTAAAGATCAGAACAGGGTCAGCATTTAACTTTAGACCCTAATTTCTTTTAATAGTTTAAATACGAACTAATCTGGTCGCACTTTTGTTTCTCTGTAATTGAAACAGAACGGGGCATTCTCTTGGTCTGTTTCAAAACCAACATTAAAAGGGTGAAGAGGCAACAGCATTGACACAGAGGTACTGTAGATAGCTACAGTATGTTCTGGGTAAAGTATGACTGTCTGGAACATAGTAAAGATATGAATCAGTGACAGAGAAGCAGATTATAGTGCATGGGAGGTTTAAGAAGTTTTCATGGATGTTTGAAGTTTCTTTCTGTGACTCTGCTGTGAATTTAAACTGATTCTCCTGTGGAAACCAGCAAGCTACAATCTTTTCAAAGCAGCTTTTCAGGATAGTTGGTGAGTATTTGGTACTCAAAAGTAACAGTCCTACTCAGTTTCTCAGGCTATTCCAATGATGAACACTCGATGGCAATAGTGTGCAAAGACATAAAACAATGTGGCAACAAAAGTACGTAAGATAAAGACTGCTAGCAAGCAAACATGGATACATATAATGTAAACTCTACAGGGTACCTTGAAGTTTACAGTGCAACACCTGTACATTTATGGATCTACTTGAAAGCTTTTAGATTTACTGTAAGCAGGGGCATATATGTACTGCTCTCAAACCGTACTTTAGCTCTAAATGTCTGAATCTGTCTGAATAGGGATTGCAAAAATGTTAAACTCACTCCAATCTCTACATGAAACTTCTCTTAATTTTACCTCAAATCCTTCCTCGCTCTGCTCAGCCCGTATTTCAGATTTATCCAAGTTCATTGCCAGCATTAGTTCTTCGACTTCTCTGACAACCTCCTGAGTGTCTCCCTTGTTTCTTCTATCTCTATCTCTTCTTCCAGCTCTGGGACCAATGTTGTCTTCAATAATCCGCTCCGCCTGGATAAGATCTGCTTCCTCTGCGATTTCAATGAGGTCCTCTTCTTCTTCTGCTTCCTCTGCTTCTATATCTAACACATTGCAGTAAGAATCAGTATGAGAATGATTTCATTCACCAGCACAATAAATGTACTGAGTTTTAGGACATTGACAACTTATAAAGTAGCATGGAGCGTAATACCACACAAGAAAATGTGCTAAAATACAGAAAAACAAAATAACAAGTGAGTTAAGAGACAGACCATATCAGTCAGCTTCATGATTTATAGAGCCTTCAGAAATGGTGTACCTGAACGGGGTGGTGGATTATTTATTATTGCTAGCTGCAAAATCCAGCTGGAGCTGTGTAGAGTTTAGACTTTGATAGTTATTTTGCCATTTTTGGAGCTCTTAAGTATTCATTTCAGCTGGTTTGCAGACTGCTAAACAAGGGCTACCTTGTTTAGCAGCTGGTGTTCAGACAAACAGCTGTGGACTGGGAGTAAAACTATAATGACAGAATTCAGTTTAATTTTAAAAAGTAAATTTGAAACTAATATTTGTCAGGAGAATTCAAGCTTTATCCAATTGCACCACAATCATAACAAATGCAATAAAAGACAACAAATAACTGTTAACCGGGGTAGATTCCAGAAAACAGGCTACAAAAAGCAGGGCTTATTGCAAAAAGCCTAACTTCAGTTGCAATGAACACTGAGGTGCTAAGCAAACACGGATCACATCAATTTAATATGAAGAAGGGCAATTAGAGAGAGAGCTGCTCCTCACTAAGGTTGTATTTTCCATTTCAGCACACATTTTATCACAAATTAGGTTATATCAAATGAACAGTTCAGTTGAATTATTATAAATTAAGTCCATTTGCAATTCTGTCTCAGCCATTTAAATCAATCTGTAATGGAGTGCCATTAAAATCAGTACAGGTCTTATGTGTCTGCTGGTTGATAATGCATTTGACTTCATTACTTCTTTAATGCAGTAGTCAATATCATTTCCATTGCAATCCAACAATAGTGAGGTGAAATGACTTTACAAAAACAACAGTAGATCTTCTGTTATCACTTCTGTATTATGAACATGCAGACAGTTACAATACAAATGTATCTTTACCACCTGTGTAAGGGGTTTGTTAAAATAATTAGAAAATTAACTAAATTAGAAAAAGGCATTTGTGGAGGGAATGTTGTTAAATTCAAGCTAACATAGTTGTAGTTTTGAGGCGCTGTTTATACACTATCAGTGAAAAGAAGCTGGATCCTCTTACACCGTTTCAGTCAAGCACCACTTACAGTTTAAGCCTTACCTTCATTTCCATTTGCATTCTCTGTCTCCCTCTGCAGGAAGGTGGTGGAACCCAAACCCAACCAATCCATCATCAAACTGGGCTTCTTCTCAGTCCAGATCTCAAAACCATCCTGTGTCTGCAAATTATTTCATAAACACGAACGGATGAGTTTGTTACCTAATTTATTATGTCTCGCTCAGGTTACATAAATACATGAAATGTGTATTTTTCATTCAGTATGACTCACAGGTGGTTGGTGCAGACTGTCCCAGTGTCTGCCCAAAATGTACTTCTGTAAGAAGTATTCACGTAGGACACCTTTCAGAGAACACTCCAGCCTCATACTGTGCATCTCGATTCCCCTCTCCTCCTGACACAGCTGCTTGTAAATCTGTTAAACAGGTCATGAACACTACAGCGATTAGGTGGAGAAATTAAATAAGAATGTGTGTGATATAATGCAGTAAAGTGATGAGTATAACCAGCTAAATTATTTGGAATTATTCAAATCTATTATATTCTTTTGTACATTCTCACATTTTGCTTTGCATGAAAATAAAGTGGGGAAGCAACTTGAAACATAAAGTTAACTTGTAAGAGTCACATCGTAGGTCAGTCAGCATGAGCTCACCTCATTAAATGCATTACGCAGGTGAGACGGCAGCGAACGTTTGAAGTTAGCCGAGTGGGTCAGCTCCCTTAGATTGAAACGCTTCAGGATCTCACTGTTGCTGCGGCCCCCCACTCTCACTATGCCGTCTTTCAGAAATTTATGAATACCTTATATGCAGAGACAAACCAAATGCACATCACATCCAGCACAACAGAAAGCTTATTTGTTTTTAACATTGTCCATTTAAGGCCACCAAGCAGGAGTTTGTAAAGACAAATAATCAAAAGAAACTTGAAGTCAATGTTTGTGACCCTTTAACAAACATTTCAGCACATTAACAAATACAGCTCAGAAGAATTGTTGTTTGAATTAGAAATATATGACATTGACAAGAGGCCATGTTTTTAAATCCCAAACCACAAAATGAATCTGATATTATTATGAATCACTGCTTACCCTCAAGGAACTGATCCAGGGCATGGTTGGTGTAACACACTACCAGCATTGGAACTGTGTCCAATTTACTTCTCCAAAGTTCCTGATTGGTCAACAGAGCCTGAGCAATCTTAAGGCCAACGTAGGTTTTTCCTGAGAAAATGAAAGAAACAGAGTAGCCTCATTTTAGAAGGGAAATTCTTTGGATTTTGTTTTTCCGCAAATGTGGGAAATAAACGCTACACTTTTCATTCACAAATGAAGTCATCCTTCCAACAATGCCTTTTCAATGTCTCACCAGTGCCAGGAGGTCCCTGTATGATGGCCAGCTCCTTCGTCAGGGCCAGCTGGAAGGCTTGCATTTGAGACTCATCCAGCCCCAGCTCCTCCATTCCTGGCCAGGCCTTTTCGTCCCGGCTGTGAAAGGGCCGTATGTGGTCCTTGTAGTCAGGGTCAGCAATGGATGACAGGTCATAAGTATCTCTTCTTCGCAGATAAGCTGGGGGATGCACGTCTGTGCTGCACTCCACTATGTACCTGGAAGAATTAGGATTAGGTAGGATTACATCTTTTAGCTTTTACTATCTGTGTAATAGGAGGATATGGAGACTTATCATTAATAGATTCTTATTAATATCTTCTTATTTCAAAGGTTTTTTTAAAAAGGTTCCAATTAAAAACCTACAGTACAATCCACTGCAATAAACATGTAAAAGCATAATTTGCTTTCATCATTAAAGTGAGCCTACAGCTGCCATTGTGGCTACAAAAACACTTACAAAATAATGATAAATGTTAAAACATAAGGTAATACTAGCACTAGTAGAGTCCTACAGTTGCTCAACTGACTCAATAATGTTGAATCACACAGCAATATCTATCTAAAGTTGGCTACTAAGCTACACTGTTTGCACCACAATACTGACCCAAATCAGTATCTACCATTGACAAAAACATACATTTTATGTACAAAAGGGTGACTAGGCTACACTGTGTGAATATGTGGCTGATAACTCCCATGGTGCAGTTTTGAAGTAAAAACAGTTTAAAGTTGTTTCAGGTATTCACAGGAGAGAAGTCTGGGAGACAGATGGCCAACAAAATGTCTCATCTAAGACATTACTTTGTGGTATCTATGAAGGGCACTGGGACTGCAGACAACCAAACTTTTGAACTCAACCATGCGTGGCAGCTTTTTGGGAATAGCATAGCGGTATGATTAACTCATGCCAATTAAAAACGTGATTGCTGAACTCGCTTTATACCGTTTCTCCCCCAAACGCCCTTTGAAAAATCTACATGTGAGCTTGTTTTGAAAGTGCTGTGGGATTATGTAAAAACTATGACCTTCATGGTAAAATGTAAAACTTCAAAGCACACAAACACACATTCTTACCTCTGAAAGGGCAGACTGTCCTCCTCTTGCTCCTGTAGGCCATCTAGAACGTAACGATAGGCCTCAAAGTAGGCAGTAGTCTCAACCATCAGGAACAACTGATCTTTCTGTGAGATAAATCAAGTTTAGTTCTTTGTTTATCTGTTAAAATCTATAAAACCATGAACCCTGCACCTATCCATTAGAGCTGCAATAGTTATACTGAAAGCTGGTTTTAATATTTTGTCATATGCATTCTTTTCTTATCAACAACTGCACATCATTTACTGCCCCACCTGAATTCCAGCCAACATCAATCTGCTTTCTTCAGTAAAGCTAATCTGGACCTGTCCCTTCTGCAGGTCTTTGGGATCCCGATCTGACACTGTGGCAAACAAAAATGTCTCAAAATTGTCAGAAGACAGGCAGACCAGGGAACCGTAGATCAGCCTCTTGGAGTTCTGCCAGCGCACAAACTGTAGGAAAGACGGAGGAAGTATTATTGGTGTACGTGTTAATATTTGTCTTCCCAATACTGAATGTAATAAACATCTAAATCAATTCAGAGGCTAACCATAAGTGGCTGAATGTCGAACTGGACGATGTAGGCAAGGCCAGTGTGTGTGCATTTGGGCACCACCAGTCTTGTGTCACAATATACTCTGATATCGTCAAAGCGTTTCTTCTTCAGCGGATTGTCATTTCTTCCCATGGCCATTTGGTTCCAAAGCAATTGCTGGATCCCCTCACGGAGTGGCCGCACAAAGTCCTCTCTCAGCAGCCGGAAGTGCGTGTCAAGGTAGATGTGGGTGTTTGTGTAGCGCTGAGAGGTGAGGTTAGGTCTAAGGAAGGGCCTGGCGGCCTGGTGGAGCTCCTCATGAGTTGGGTATATGGGTATGGTCCTGTAATCTTGCTGGTCTTCTTCACCTGGATTAGAAATAGTAGGACTTTTCAGTTACTCACATTTCTATAAAACTGTGTGGTAATTTTAAAAACAACCTAAAATATTTTCTGGTTATTTTTCAGTGTTGGTTTTTAGGGCAGGGTAAGGCATGTCAGTAAAAATATCTAAGAATACCATTACCTGGATTATCAACTCCTGGGGTTAGGAGGGCATAAGTGTCCTTGTCTGAGCGCAGGGTACCCTCCCTGGATTTCTCCTGAAGGTGCCTGATCAGGACATGAAGACCCTCCACACTCTCCTCAACTTGAGGTTGGATTTCCACTCCTGATGTTTTCAGGCTGTTGATGGAGGCTTGGAGCTGCGTCAGTAGCAACCTCACTACCTGGACAGAGCTAGCAGGGAATATGCTGAGGACCTAATAAGCAGATATTGATGATAGTTAGTCAATATATACATTTTTAATGACTAATTGGAATTGTTAACAGAAATAAGCAGGGTCTCAGGGTCTACTCAGTTATGTCAGTGTAAACTCACTGAGTTACACTCACTGTGTATTTGTCCATGTATTCCTTCCCTTATCCTTTAATTATATATACAGACTAATTGGTTTCTTTGTTCATTCTTTCCTATATTTACCTCTGACAGAATAGCCAGGATGTTTTCCAGATGTTGTGGGTATTGTGCTCTGCGCTCAGCATTGAACTCTGACTCCATGCCCACAAGATAGAAGGGCAGGACGGCGCGGAAGAACCCTGAATCTTTTATGATGCCGGCCAGGTGCTGCAGGGTGCCTCTGTCTGTCCGTGCTTTGAAGGCTTTACTCAGCACCAGGCAGAGGAGTTCGACAAGGTCCTTCCTCATTGTTGTCTCATTTAGGACATCTCGTAGGGCGGGTTTAGCGGACAGGGTGATGGCCACTACAGATGGGTCTTTTTGAGAGAGTTCTTCCAGTGTTTTATAGCCCAGTCCGTTGCCCTGTGGCGCCCCAACTCTGCCTGTGGAATTAGATCTTCCTCCATTCCTCTCTTGTCTGTCTCTCACACCATCTCTTCTTTCACCCCCTCTACCTCCTCTTCTATCCACACTATATCCTCCTCTCCTTACACCCATTTCTGCCATCCCCCTTCTCGCCCCTTCTCTTTCATCTGCAGCATGCTCTCCAATTCTTCCCACATCCCCTCTCTCTGCCCTTTCACCTCCATTTCCGCCTCTCCCCCTCCATCCTCCTCTTCCTCCTCCTCCTCCTCCTCCTCCTCCTCCTCCTCCTCCTCTCGGTCTGGCTCCTCCTCCCTGTCTTCCTGCATCTCTGGTGCCCCCTCTGCCTGCACCTGCTGCTCCTCCTCCTCTTCCTCCTCTACCTCTCCATTGTGCCCCTTCACCTCTTGCTTCATCCCTGCCTTCTCTTGCTGCACCTCTTTCACCCCCTCTACCTGGGTCTCCTCCTCTTCCTCTGCCTCTCCCACGCATCCCATCACCTACTCCTCCTCCTCCTTCTCCTCTACCCGTGTCTTCCCTTTCAGCTTGACCACCCCCACAACTTTGTGCTCTTCTTCTGGCCTGTGCACCTCCTCGTCCTCTCCATCCACCTGCATTTTCATTTTGGCCAGTATCTGGGGGGTAAAACATTCATATACTAAGACCTTGAAAATTAATGTATTTTTCTGAATTGCCTCATACTGTGTAATTACCATTATGCCGTCCTCTTCTCCCCGTTATTAACGTGAGTCTTTCCATTGGTAACGCTGCTGATTTCTGAGTGGCAAGAAATTAGACAGTGGAAGTGAAAAAACATTTGAGCATGATTACACAAGAATTTGAAAGATACTTAATGTATGTATGAGCCCATAAAAACCCCTTTTAAAAGACGTACTTTCACTATTATGATAATTATCAGCGTTATCAGTATTTTGCAAGGTCAGAGGAGTGCTGGAGTCAGATAAAAAGGGATGATCTCATTGTTTATAGTTTCAAGGGAAATGAAAGCTTGCCTGTCCCTTCCTTTAAAAGATAAAAGTTTTTGTTTGATATGTATTTGAATGCCCATAGCAATCAATAGATGCACACTAGATTTGAACTATTCTGGGACTTTAATTGTTGGCATACTATGTGACTATGTGTTTATTTCAAATGCATTTTTTATTACAATGTTGTTTAGAGTTTCCTTTGCTTGCTATTGCAGTGACTTAACCCAAATGAAGAGTGTGCCCTCTACTGGATGCATGAAGGACTTGCATGTAAGTGTAGGTTTCTGTTCACCAGAAATCGGATGAGAGCTTTCAACCACAAACCCTGTTTGTTCGGATCTGCTGAAACACCCTAAGGCGTAACAGATAAAATGATACTGCAGTTCATTTGCAAAGCCTTTTATTTGTTATAATACACCATACTCCACAATAATTATATACATTTCTTAGACTGACAGGACATTTTTGATTATCAGTCTCATTCTTTCATCATTCCCAGTCCTATATTTTATTCATAAACTATTTCCCAGTAATTTAGCCAGCTGACTCTAACTTCCACCCTCTTTCCAAAACGCAACATAAAGAAAAGAAAGAAGGAAAGAAAGAACTTACCAAGACTGAAATCCACTTGACATTAATCTTTCAACCATCATGAAGCTTTACAAAGCAAGGCAGGCCCGTTTGCTATTAATACACCATCTATCCTTCTCAGTCGGCAGTCTGTGTCTCAGGTTTCCTGCTGCTCACACTGCTCGGCTCAGGAAGCTGCTGGCTCATTTAAATACTCCGTCATTTTCGTTTTCGTTTCTTCAGAAGCAACAAACACACCACACCGATCAGTCAGCGTGCACTATGTTTGGGCTGTGACTCACACAGACACATGATTATCGTCTATGCACACAACAAATTATGCGCAATTAGCCTACTGCTCAGTATCTATGGCTTATTCACCAGCAGGCTACAGTGCATGTGTGGCCGGATACTGAGTTTTGTCATCCAACTATATTTGAGGTATACCGGAATAAGCGCTCAGATATTTTACATCATATATCAGTGGGAAAATAAAATATATAAAGTAAAATGATTTGATCAATAAGAGTATGATAGTATTATCAGTTAAACGTACTGGAATTATTAAAGGATGATGCATTAACGTGTTTTCTAATTCAAGTTTAACTAGACACTGCTGCAGCACATACAAGGAGGTTGAAAAAAAAAAAGCCCTGCCTTGTTTTCATTAATTAGTAACTCTTTGCCATCAAGTTAGAACATGCAGAATATCTCACGTCTTGATCTTGATGTGGCTTGTTCTTGTTTCGAGAAAACACAACTCGATCACATTATAAAACAGGTCTTTAGAAACAAAGTCAGCACAATTCATAGAAAACACTGGTGCCTCTGAACACTACTTCTTTATATTTCTTAAATTTTCTTTTGTTGCTTTTGATTGACAACTCGAAGATGTCTTCCGATCAATTAATTAATCAGCCGGGGAGGGGGTCCTGTTTGCCAGCTTCTCACCCATTAGGTGGCATTGCTTTCTTCAAAAATAAAAAAAATAAATAAAACTGGCATTAACAAAAACATAGTACAATATTTGAATGTACAATGTATTAGGTCACAGTAGAAGTAGTCCAATTAAAAAGGAGAAAAGTGCAAATAATTTAGGTGAATAACTAAATGAACTTGGTGACTTCCTCATTCGCTAAACACAGCCTCCTCTTCCTCCTCCTCCTCCTCCTCCTCCTCCTCACCTCACCTCCTCCCATCATCTGGACCCTACGTCATCATTGTGTCTGAGTAGGGAGGCTAGCTAAAGCTCGCTGTGTCCCATTGGTCGCCTCCGTCAATGTAAACATGTAGCCGTGGCACCACTTTAACCTCACTTATATTCACCGGTGTTTTCCTGTTTGTTAACCAGTAAGTCAGCAGTCTCAGTAACCATGGCCGTGTCGCTGAAAATAGCAGTTTCGGAACCGGGGCAGTGCAGTGTGAGCTTGATAACTAGCTAGCTAAGACTGAGGAGCTAACACTCACCGGGCCGTGTGTTTTGGATGAGAGCTGGCCTTGCTAATTTGACAGCTAGCTGGCGGCGGCCACGATAAAAAGAAAATCGGGCTAAGTCTTGGTTAGCCAAACGAAGGAGGATGGCAAGTAATGCAATCTAGCGAGGACACACATCGAGAAGTGGAGAAAGAAAATGAAGAACTCGAGAAGTGTTGGTGCCTCGTCACCTGTGAATGGGAAGCAAGGCAACGGTAAGTGTCGCTAAGTTTGCTAGCTGCCTTCATTATTAGGGGCAGTCGTATGTTTAAGGCATTGCAGCAGAAAAAAACGAATTTCATTTTAATGTTATAAACGCGATAGTTTGTGTCTGCTGCTGGAAGCTGGATAACTGAGCCCTGCATAACCATAACCAAATGTGTTAACCTTCGTTAGCAGCATGTAAACACTAACTCACTGTTGGAAGGGGAAAGTAAACACAGGCTAACTTAGCCAATTTAAAATGGTGCTTCTTATTTATGTGTCTCAGACTGGGACACCAGGCGGAAGAGGAAAGTTGCGGACATCACACAGGCCCTTAGTGCGAGTCCGGTGGATGTGGCAGCTTTGAGGAGGATGGCTATCAGTGAAGGAGGACTGCTGACCGATGAGATACGCTGTCAAGTCTGGCCTCGGCTTCTCAACGTCCCCCTTCACGTCTTGGATCAAGAGCCAGGTATCATGTCAGCTGCATATGCTTAAACAGAGCAGTGTAGGATATCTATGTGCCATGGCACAGACACTCACTTTTCCACTATACATGACAAATATTAACATAGAGAGTCTTAGCAGGTGCAAGCTCTCCCACATACAGTATTTAACTTGTGTATGGTAATGCTGATGGTGGCGTGTCTTGTCCAGAAACGGTGGAGCGGGAGAATAACAAGGACTACAACCAGGTGTTGCTGGATGTCCAGCGCTCGCTGCGGAGGTTTCCACCTGGTGAGTTGAACCCATACCTTCTGTTTCATGAAGCCCTGCTGTGTGTATATTCCTACAGGAACAGACACACACACACATACAACCAAGCTGTGGTGCATCAAATATAGAGCGTTTGACTTACAAGTGGTTGTGTTGAATATAGTGTATTGTCACTAATAGTTTGTAAGTCAAGGGTTTTTTTTTTTCACCATCCTTAAATTAGAAACAAACAACATATATACAAAGTCGTAGAGTTAGCTTTCATTTGAAATCTGTCAATATTTAGTTCAATACCAGTGCAACATTTTTGAGTAGTAGTCTTCCTCTCTTTTATAAAGCCATCAGTGTGTCTCTGTAAGCAAATGTACATTGATTATCCTACAGACCAATGCAGTGTCAAAACTTTGCCACTACTCTACCTCCTGTAGCGTACCGTTACTTTTACTGGTAGTCAACTTGGCACACCGACAAAATTCCAGAAGAGCTCTTAAAGGGTGCAGCCGTATTGTCCACACTGCACTGCTAGAACCTTTGCCAGTCCAGCTCACGAGCATTCATATTACTATTAGTATTAATACTTAGGTTGGTAAGTAAAGATCTATCGATTTAACACTGCGCTTGAAGGAGCTGCTCCCAAAATGCTTTTCTATTGAGATAATCTCAGTTAAGTTTGATCTGTCCGTAACTGTGATAGCTGTCAGTAAAGAAGTCACAGTTGGTCGGATTGTTCTGCCTTCAAAATAAAACTGTAGAATTAATTGTTACTTGCAGAGGGAAAGACTTTAATAGATTTAATATACGGTATTGTATATGTCTGTCATTTTTCTTCAATATATATTAATTAATGTATTACTCCGAGCACAGCAGAATTAGCTTTTACCCTGCATTTTTTCCCCATTAATTCTTTTCTGGCATGTTTGACTGGCCCTTGAACAAGCAATGAATGATGCCATTCAATACTGGGATTATCTTCTATTTGACTGAGGAGTATAATACAGCAAGCACTGTGTCTACTGCGGTTAATCATACCAGCATCAGTCAGCTTGAACAAATTATGACTGAATTGGTTATGGAAAATTGATATGGCTGCAACTCTGGTATGTTATATTTATGAGGTCACTAATGTAGTGGAACACCCAAAGCCTATATAAATTAACAACTGTATTTTATGTTGGGTGCACTATCACAGGTATGCCAGATGAGCAGAGGGAGGGTCTTCAGGAAGAGCTAATTGACATCATCCTCCGGGTTCTGAAACGTAATTCCCAGCTGCACTACTACCAAGGATACCATGACATTGTTGTCACCTTCTTATTGGTCCTGGGAGAGCGCCTTGCAACTGCTCTTGTGGAAAAGCTCTCCACGCATCATCTCAGGTACTTACTATATGGATACATTTATCTGCAGCAGCTTTTTTTACCTACCAGCTTTTACTTTGTTTTTCTTTCTCTGTTATGTGTCCACATGTCAGATAAAAAAAAACTCCTTTCCTTCCTTGCCTTCCTCCTTCACCTTCTTCAACAATGGTCCATTGTGCACTCTAAAAATGCTCTGTTTTATGCTCTTCCAGGGACTTCATGGATCCTACCATGGACAACACAAAACACATTCTTAACTATTTGATGCCCATCATTGACAGGGTCAACCCTGAAGTGCATGACTTCATGCAACAGTAAGCCTCTTTGCTTTTTAAGTGATAACAGTACAAATCATTATTTTCTCTATCCCATCAGAGGTTATTTATAAGACATGAGACTTTTCCAAATGAGAAATTCATCCTCACTTTATTTGCAGTATGAATATGATTTCCTGTATTTGCTGTAATTAGGGTAGGACGTTAAGAGATTTAAAATAAGCTTCATACCCAACACAGCTTTCCTTATGGTTATGAAATGTAATATCATTTAAATCTACTCTACAAATTATTTCCACCAGTGGCTGCTGTTTTAAATGAATACAAGTCTATTTTGTTTCTGTCTGAAGCACTATTGCTTTATATGAATCCTGCCATCCCTGTCAAGATGATAGCAGGAGATATACAATATCTATGGTGGTGGTAGTTAATGTGAACTGCTGCCACTGTTGTAATTATGCAAGCATCACCATTACGAGCTTTGACATTTCAAATTACAAACCTAACAGAAAAAATGTTGATGTTAATGTGAGATTTACGAAATGTTTAGACATGCAACATTTAATATCAGAGTTATTACTTTTTCAAGAAACAAATTATGTATTAACAGTATGGTTTATTGGCAGACAGACAGAAGTGCATGTTCAGCGATGCTTCCAATATCATGGCTATAATCCAAAGAGAAATTCCATGATGGTCAATAATACTTAGATTTGCTGTATCTGCCACCTTTCTGACATACCTATTATTATAGAAATATCTTCTTCCAAGTGTTTTAAAGCAGCCAAGATTAATGTTGAACCTCACACTCTCAACTCTAAAGTGAAGGAGAAGGTGACTGTGCACTTACAACGTACTGATCCTATTATGACAGCTCAAGTTACATCTCTAGAGACTTAACAGCAGAGGTCATGAAGTCCTCCGCTTGGAGGGCTGACATGACTGTTCCCTTCTATATCTTTCAGTTCCAGATCCTATAGCAAAACCCCTTTTAATCATTTCTGGTGTTGAGTGCTAGACATTAATCCTGAAGTGGAGCATGAGCACGCTTTACTGTTTTGTGTGCTGACGTAAGTTGATTCCTGTCATGTACTGATTGACTCTTAGGGCCGAGGTGGGCACAGTCTTCGCTCTCAGTTGGCTGATCACCTGGTTTGGCCACGTTCTGTCAGACTTCCGCCATGTTGTCCGGTTGTATGACTTCTTCCTGGCCTGCCATCCTTTGATGCCCATCTACTTTGCTGCTGTGGTGAGCTTCCTATATCAACACTAGTTTGCAGTCCAGAGGGGACGGATTGAGAAACCTAACTTTAATTTACAGTACATGAACTAAGTCTGCTGAATCAGTTTGAGGCAAGAGCATTTGTAGGAGTTAAAGTGTGTATTGATTTGTGAGTCAGAGGCTAGCGGTTACCCTTTGTGGAGGTGTCCTCTTTTATTTGAGGCTTGACTGCACAATAGGCCTTTGTGACAGCTTAAGGATATATTGTTATTATTATTGTGATGATTATGTTGCTCCATTGGGTGAGTTGTAGTTGAAGATATAGTGCAGGTTGCTAGAATGTGATGACACTAGAACCTCTCCTGTATTAAGAAAGGTAAAGGTAGAAATAAGTTGTTGTTGATTGAGCAGTTTATTGATAAAATCAAGGCTCTGCAGTTATATTAAATCATAATAATAAATCAAGTTTGGCTAACCTGAACATCTCCAACATGTCACTCTAAGTCCTTGTATGTCTGATGGGTAATAGCCTGTTTAGTTTTCAGTGTGTAATAACAAATATGTTTTATTGGTACTTGTGTTGCAGATCGTACTGTACAGAGAAGAGGAGGTGCTGGACTGTGAATGTGATATGGCCATGGTTCATCACTTGCTGTCTCAGATTCCCCAGGATCTGCCATATGAAACACTCATCAGCCGAGCAGGAGACCTCTTTGTCCAGTTCCCTCCCTCTGAACTGGCCAGAGAGGCTGCCTCACATGACAGGTACTTAACCCCTCATGGTTACCACCTTACCTTTAGGTGCATTCACACTCGCATATTTCACTTTCTTCTACTTCTCAACGGCTCCAGTTACTCCAGTTTTTTCATTAACACTTTTATATTCTGTCTGTCTTGGTCTCTCTATGTATCTGTCTCTTTTCCTCCTAAGCATGGCGTCCTCTACCTTTAAGGACTTTGACCTTGCGTCCACTCAACAGCGACCGGACTCTGTTCTCCGTCGCCGACGCAGACAGAAACAGGCTGCACTGGAAAGCGCGGCGGCGAGCTCAACAGTGGCCCGACCTTCAGCAGCACGGCGGTTTGTTCGACTAGCAGTCATGGGTCTGACAGTGGCTTTAGGGGCAGCAGCTCTCGCTGTGGTCAACACTGCCCTGGAGTGGGCCCCCAAACTGGACTTGTTTCCTTGAACTGCTCCTATTTTATCCCTATGCCACAAATCTGTCCTTGACCAAATCTAACTGGTGGGTCTGTTTCCAAGAACCCTCTAATTATTTAAACCACAAACCCTGCAGTCCATAACACTATCTGGAGTGTACATTTGTCTCTAAACTGAACCAGTTAACGCACCTCTTTCATCCTCCAGGATGTTTCTACACATCCTATGTAGGGTCTTTTTTTATGACTCCTGAAGAGCCCACACCAGTGTAACTGTTGAAATGAAGAATCCTGTTATAATGGAGAGACTGTATTTCTAAGAACTATGACTGATGGTGTCATCATTAAAGTGTATTTATATTTGGTATTAGGATAATCTGATATTGAGTTATGCTCACAGAGATTTATGCTGAAAGCTTGGTGGACTCACTACACTTGAAACTGCTGCCAATTAAGAGAGCTGGAGTGAATGTATGAGAGTGTATGTATGTGTGTGTATGGTCACAACCCATTTGTTATCTATTTGATACCTGGACTGAGACCAAATAGAGGATTGTTAGAATCCTCTTTGTATAATTTACTGTTTTTTTTTATTTATAGGTATGCAAGCAGCTGTAAAAAAACATGGCCATGACACACAAACACTTTTTAAGGTCTCTATTTTATTATTTTTTTTTAGGTTATTTTGTCCCTTTTCAGTTGTTTGAATAGGCCGTTTTGGTCAAGAAAAATTTATTTATTTATATTTTTCCTTTCTGCGGCTCGTTATCTTTAAAACAGTTGTCACCCTGGACTACACATTTTAATTCTGGCTCATGGTTGGGGTCAGCTAAACTTAACTGTAAGATGTTTTAAACTAAATGTGGTGTTAATGAAGTAAATGTATTGTAGCGTGCTGAAGAGAGAGTATTAGGCCCCAGAAAGGAGTACTGCTTTCACAGTCTACAAAGTAAAAAAAAAAATCAACCATATTGAAATTGTTTTATTAGAGCTTCCCAAATACTTCACTCACTTAATTGTTTAGTTGTGTAACCTTAAAGATGTGTCTGGGTGTCATGGCCCCAAATGACAAGGGTAGGTTTTCTGCGTCACTTTTATGGAGTAAAAGTTGTAGTTCAGCAACACACTCACTCACTCAATGCCTGGTAACAGAAAATATCAAAGCTGGGATGAATAGCAAGTAAAATGAAGTAGACACTATAGTCCTTGTGTTGGGATGGGGGCGGGGGACCCAGTTTGCACTGACTGCATTTGTTTTGCAAAATCACTTTATAATGAGTTTGATAGGCGTTTTGTGCTCTCCTACTGTAAGGGTGCTCCTATCAGAAAAAGCGCCTGAGCCTTCAAATTAATGCTATCCAATGTTTCTGTTTTAAAGATGACATTAGCTTTATTTGTAACACATGCCATTTAGCAAGTTGGATTGCTTTGAGTGTAGCATTTGCATTTCAGGGGCAGTCCAGCTCATTCCATTGTTCCAGTCATTTTCATTCAGTCACATAGTTGGAGTAATAGGGGATTGTTTTGGTTACAGTCGTATGGCACTCACCGGAATAGCCAAAAAACTAAATAGTAAATAGTTTAATCAGAGCACTTCATTTTAAGGCAGTGGGTCATCTGTAATCTTTAAGATGTATTTTGAAGTCTTCAGAATTATTGACTGAGTTTAAGGTCACCTGCAATGTACGGCACAACAACCAGTCAACTAAAAAAAAATTACACGTTGAAAGAAGTTTTCTTTTTGCTATAGTAGGGACAGAATATCTGGGCATCTCATTTCTATATTATAGTTGACTGGTTAATTGCCTTTGTAGAGCCACGTTTTAAGCTGGTATTTAATCTACAAACTCCTAAAAAATTAAGGTGACCTGGAACATGTCCAAGGACGCTCTGAGGTGCCTGAGAGTGTAGTTGTTCAGCAGTATTGTAATGCACCATGTATCTGCTCTCAGTGGTTTTCATTGCACTAATTGATTTAACTGCCTTTTATGTTTATTTTGTTATAATGAATCTGTCATACTAATGTAAAGTTGTACAAGAGAATGCTAATAAACTAGAGTGAAACTGTTCAATGTATTTCGACACCGCCACATATTAGTGTGGGAACAAATGTATATGTAAATAGTATATAACAGCAGAGTACACAGGTATTAAGATTTAAGGGCAAAGTCAAATCTTTTTCAATATCCATCTGAACCTTTAACTTGACCATTTAACACTAGGATCCCATAACTACTAGAGCTAGAACATTTTCTTTACCTTTTGTGTAATAACTATTTCAAAAACTGGATAAATGGAAATAGAAATACAGATACTTTTAGGTATTTTCAGGTACCAGTAGCAATGTTTTTTTTAATTTAACAAAGTTATTGCGCATGTAAATTTGACAAAGGGTCAAAATGACCACCATGGCTATTCTAGTGTTAAGAATCCCAGACTCAGCTTGTACGGCTGGCTAAACTTTATTCAGCCTAAACTATTCTGTCAGGCTTATCAGCCTCAGCTATCCTGTTTGATTCAGCTGCTCTTCGTCAGCTTCAGCCATACTTCATTAGAGTAAGCTGTCTTTGGTCAGACCAGTTGTTCATCGAAGTTTCTGTTGACATATTTCATTCTGTTACAATGCTAGCATGCTATGCTCGTTGTTCCAGTTTATTAGAGTTACGGCATGTCACTCTAAAACACTTGCTAGTGAAACTCAACAAACTTCATTGATATAGACATGAAAAAAATATTGTGTATATATATATATATATGTATATATATAATAGTACATTGGTTATTGTAGCTCTTAAAGAACGAACACTTAAGACGTACAGATAAAATCTTGAAATCTTACAAAAATAAAGCATCATTTGTCCATTGTGCCATTTAACCTGATATTTCAGTTATTAAGTGCATCAGAGCAGCTTGTTTTGCATTACGAACACATTCAATGTAAACGAAATCCTTCACCACAGTCTGATAAGTAGACTGAAATAAAATCTGCTATAATAATTATAACAAATCAATAATTTTTTGGCAAAAACAGCAAACATAACCACCGTATGTTACAACATAAAACAAACATTCGGATCAGATTAGTTAGGAAGACATCACTTTGGGCTCCATATAACACACATTTGTCTGGAGTTCTGCTGCTTTATACATTAAATGATGAGTTATAAAACTATATATTATTCATGAATGATCACTACTATTAATTAGTTGTAGCCATACTTCACAAAGGAAAAAAACACAATAGGAATTCCTTATTTATGGAGATGTTAGCTGTCGAGTGACATTTTAATTTACTGTATATGAGTTTTAGCCATTTCTTGCATATTTGTCTTTAAAGATAAAAGACAAATATTCTGGTGTCTTTCTCTGAGGAATGTATGTGTATTGAGTAGAAGCCAAACTCAAGTAAACACAATATCATTGCTGGCTCATCAAACTGAATTGTGACAAAAGCAGTAGCCAGTGGTCAACATGTATAGCAAGCATTAATTTATCACAAAAAAAAAAGGATTATTATAGCAGAAGATCCCAGTAAAGCTTATTTTCTCACATTGAGAGTTAGTATCCTCAGCTGCGGAGATGTAGCTGGCAGTCTGTATAGCATGTGTATGGCATTTATATCTACCACACAGTTGAAGAAAGGTGTGCCTTAGTAACAAGACACTAAGGCACACTGAAAAACCGTAAACTTAAAAGTAAGAAAAAATAACCACATGAATGTAGCCGGCAGCTTAAGCCTCAGCGGACGTCTATGTTTCTTAAGACAGTGCATGCACTTGCAGCTGTGTGTGTTCATTAGTGTGCTTCCCTCAGTGGCAATTTTGGCAGTTGGGATGGCATGGCTGATTATTGACTCGGCATCTACAGCCCCCAGGATGTGTCGCCCTTTCCCTGTAAAATACAACAAACAAAACAGCAAAGTCATATGCACGGCTCGAACACATGAGCTAACTTTACCTGAATACAAAACTAAACGCTGTGTAAGGAAATGCTTTTACATTCGGGCCCCAGCGAGCTTGTTTGGTGACCCAGCAGATTTCTGTCTTGCACATCAAACAGCAGATCCAATCACAGCCGTCTTTCTTCTGGACGATGATGTCACACCGTGGACATTTCATGGCCTCCCCATTCTGTAGCAAGCTCTGTGTTCAAATACAGTGAAAGCAGGTCAATTGTAAAGTAGTGTAATGAAATGCACACAAACTATTCAGACAATCAACACTTGTGGTACAAACGATGCAATTCAAGGAGCATGATGGTGATTTGAGTACACAAAAAGCAAAATTATGCAGTTACATAATACAAATACCGTCATCCATCTAACTAAACAAAATTTAGATCTAGAACTTAGATCATGGGACAACACACTGGCCACTTTGGTTCATGGAAAGCCTAAACCAAATCAGTCTGAGTTGTTGCTGGAGCCACAAACATTATTTTATTTAACAGTTTTTACGTGCAATTAAAATGTGGATTAAAACATAGAGTACAACTAACTAGACAGGGTCAGTGCCTGAATTTAGAAAACTAATTTTGTAAACATGCATCGACTCTATAAAATATTAAGTAACACTTCCTCAAATGTACTTACAAAGCCCACACTGATGAAAGAGCACTCAAAATGAATGTAAAACAAAACAGTATCTCCACCAGCCCTCCCAGTTTGTAGATAAAGAAGCGAATCCAGTCCAGAATACAATGCAAATATCTGATTTTATTCACGATTCATCATAAAACATTTGATGACTTTTTAATGGTAAGCTAGATTAACTTTTAATTACACCAGTATTTTAATTGACTCCTACGGGATGTACTTAGCTGCATTTAAGACCCTTCATAATGTCCTGTACTGGTCTGTGGCATACTGAGTAGTGCACTATAACAAGATTGCAGTGCTGCACAGGAACTGATGTGCTCTCTTATTTATCAGGGATGTTACTGTTACACATGTTTCTGATCTGATCTGCAAGCACAAAGGAGCACACGACTGTTCATTTGTCAAAAGTGCAACAGACTGCTGGCTGTGACCCTCTGACCAGGAGGCCACTCCTGTGCCAAGTTATCGCACAGAATTTTAAGGTTGACCTACCTCCAGCATCTGCTTAGTTTGCTGAGCCGCCTGGTCGTTCTCTGCTCGGATGCGCAGGTCATCCTGGTAGTCCTTACAGTTCATATCATTATGGATGGCCTGCAAACACACACAACTTTCTTTATGTTTGGTGCTTCTACTATGACTGCACAGTCATAAAATCAGCGTCAGTTAAAATAGTAGTAAATGTCAAAACGTTACCCTGCAGAGAATGCAGTTGGTTTCGTCGCAGAGCTCACAGTGGAACTCGTCGACTTCATCCTCGTAGATGCACCACCCTCGGCAGTTGGGAGTCTGACAGTGGAAGCTGTGCTCCGAGCGACTTTCTGCGATGCTCAGGCGCAACTCCAGAAACCGCTGGTGCTCCTCTTCGGTGAGCAGCTGTATCCAGAATCAGAGAGAATAGTGAAAGTGAAAGTGAGTAAGAGTGTACAATACTGTAGGATTGTTATCTTGTAGGAAAAAGAAATAAAGAACTTGTAACCTGCTGCCTGAAGAAAATCCTCTTTTTAAAGAAAAGAAACCTTTATATTATTCTGACCAAACAGTGCAGACACACATACTGGGTCTAGATGATCAAAAGCTAATGTGCTAATTTTAATTGTAACAACTTTCTGTAATCATTGTGCACTGAAACTAAAAACTAAAATTCTAGTCATAGTTGTAACACATTTATTTATTTATTTTGTATGTTATAATTTTCCAGTTCATCTTTTAGATTGTGACTTGTACAAAGTTCCTTGTTTTCCAGTCTTACACTCACCGCTTGGATCTCTCGGTCCAGTAGCTTGCTCTCACATGCGTCGGGACAAGACACCTCAGCATCCTGACTGTTCACTATTGTCCCTTTCAGACACTCCCTAAACACACACACACACACACAAGAAAAATACAAATATATAAACAAATTAAATACTTACCATATAACATTCTGCATTTTAGACTGTACCTTTAGAAAGAATACAGATTATTCTTATCATCTTTACAACATATGACAAAGCTAAAATCATTTACTGCGTCAGACCTGCAGAAGGTGTGTAGACACTCTCTGAGCACGATGCCCTCTCCTGGCTCCAGGGTAGAGAAGCAGATGGGACAGTCTATCTCTGTGGTGTTGAAGATGAGGTTCTGGCCCTCTGTTGCCAACAAATGCAGGTAATTCCTCTCTCGTTCCTCCCGCTGAGCCTTCATCACCCGGGGAGGGGGAAGACACAATCATAACACAAAGATTCATTACAGATTTTTTTATGACTCATTACAAACAGCAGACTCCCCTGCTTCCTGAAAAATGAAAGTGAAACAACTGCTACATTCTCTTTAGCTTTAGTGGTTTCCGAGAGCCTCACCAACGTTTTTATGGACTTGTGGTGCTTTTATGTTCACTAACCCATTCTTCAATCTATTTGTTGATGTAGTGTATACGTGTAATCTATTGGTTCTGCATTTAGCATACATATCATAAAGACTGTTAGTTCAGCTATCAAACATCCTCTTCTGTACAAGAGAGTAGAGTAGGGTTTTGATGAATGGAGATATTAGCTCCGTTAGCATTAAGGCCATAGTTACTAATGAGGTTGTGTTGGACTATAATATATTGAGAGGTGTTTCTAATATTCTTCCACTATATGCAAATAGAGAGGACAAAACATTGGAAAACACTTTTCTTCTTTAACTATGACGTCAATAATAAACATTTAACTAACACATTTCTGACAATATCAACAAAAGCAAGAGCTGTTGTACTAAATTGGAATGGATTGTAGGTGTGCCTAATAATGTGGCCACTGAGAGTATATATACCTTTAAGTTTTAGAAATACAAAGCTAAGATGCCAAAGATTCCATCTGCACTGTGTTGCGGGTCTATTGCCGATCGGTTGCCTCACAACAACAATATGATACATGTATATGTTTTAATGAGTCTCAGTGACCTGGGTTAGGTTAAATCGGGATATAAATTTGGCATAAGGCTAAAAAGATTTTAGGAATCCTAGTTGCTACCTGTTCGTACTGCAACATGGCCAGCTTTTCCTGTTGAATTCGAAGAATTTCCTCCTGGTCTGGTTGGTAGATGTTGGGCACCTCATAATCCTCTGGACGCTCCCCTCCACACATCTCACAGCCAGGACGCGTTGGTTTGTTCATGAACGTACACATAGTGCAGGCCCAGCCCAGCTACACCCAAACAAAGTATAGTATATATAGTATGCTTGTACAGTCTACACATGCTAGACATAATGGATAATGCAAAGTTTGTATTCTGACCTGAGGTTTAGGAGGCACAACTGGTTTAGGAGCAGTCGCGGGTTTAGGAGGAGGAGGAGGAGGAGTGTGTTGAGTCTCTGGGGGAGGGGCTGTCTTGTCACCACCACCTACTCCCAGCCCTCTGGGCAAAAGTTGCATCGTCTGCATTGACTCCACAATGCCTAAGAATAGAATATCATTCCATAAAACAGATGTAACCGGAAAGTTGACTTGTTAAGTCCACCTGTAAGGAGCCTATTGAACCTCAATATAGTTTCATTATTGACCAAAACGTGTCTCAAATAGCAGACACTGTCAAATAATATAATTGACACACAGCAAAGTGCCACAGGTCCAGACTCAGGGCCAGCTGTACCAGGTGAGCTACCAGGGCTCCCTTCTGTTTACTTCTTATTTAATCAGATTTTGCCTAATTAAGTGTTTTGCCTAAAATGTATTAAATTGCCACTGAAAAAGCATTGTGTGATAGCAGGAGTAGATGGTAGATAAATGAGAGCATTCATCACTTTATTACAATCAACAGTGTGCATGCGTGTGTGTGTGTTTCTGACTCTCTATGCGTTGTTGCTCCTGGTCCAGCTTGTGCTGTTGCCGTGTGAGATGAGCAGCATGGGCGGAGAGGATAAACAGAAAAACTTTGTCCCCATTCTCACGGACACCGTGGCTGTACAACGTCTCCCGGTCCTGGGCCAGCCGCTTTCCGATCACCCATCGCTGCAGCGCGGGGGCGAACCCAAAGTCATGGCTGAACTGTGAAGATAAAATGAGGGACAGACAGCTTGTTCAGTAACACTAGATTTTACATGACTGATGATAACAGAACGTGTGTGTGCCATGCATTTAAATAAAACCACACAAAACAATCTGTACATGACAGAATTGTAGAAAGAATTAATTTTGAATTTAATTAATTATTAAAATATAAAACTTTAAACATTAACAGAGGGCCACTGACCTACTACCACAAACTATACCATACTGATTGATAATAGAACAAAGGAAACAGCTAAGAAACAAGTTAAACATCAGAATTAATAGATCATGGCTCAGTTAATTACCACTGATGAATTTTAACAAGTTAGTAATATATGTTATGGTAATAAATAATAAAGTAATAAAAAAAAAAAAGGCTGTTACAACATGTGCTGTAAGTGTTTTCTGTCACATCCATACCTTCTCTTTAAGTTGTGCAATTGTCATGTTAGTAGAAACCTCAACAGTCACAGGAATGTAGTCCTCTGACTGGGCATCCTCCACTCCAACCCACAACCTATAAAAAATACCAAACAGTGGAATGAGCCTTCATTGTATTGTCTCTACTTATTGCAATATAGCCACTCAAATATCTTCAGATTTCCACACACAGATACAAACAGCACATCTAACATACTCTAAAGGGAAGATCTTATAAGGTGTATGATTGTCTGTTATGGAAACGAAAACAAGGAAGTCACACACAGACACGTGCCTACACACGGTTGTGTCCCCACCTTATGGAGTCCTGAGGGTAGGCCTGACTGCTGATTCTGACGGACACTGGTACAGAGAGCTGTGCCAGTCTCTGGCAAAGTTTGACAGCTTCTGGTTCGTCCCCACTGCTGAGGGCTTCACTCAGAGAGAGGGCCAGTTCCTCAGCTGCACGGGCAGGAAGGGAAGAGATCACACCCTCACGTGACTTACTATCAACACACTGCAATTCTCCTTAGTGATGGGTGTTACCACTGTATTGTGTATAATATGGTGCATTGTCAGTGTAGTCTTCTAGTCACACATACATACACACACATCAGGAGAACGTGAGTCTATGACTAATCAAAACAATGACTCACCTTCACAATCTTCTGAAATACAGAATTCAATGTTAAACAGTAACACACACACACACACACACACACACACACACACACACACACACTATAGATTATTTCCATTGGGACATAAGTCAATGAAATGGGGGTTGCTGCCTCATTTATAAGACGTAGGATGTGTGCCACGAAATTAGGTTAGATTCCCCCCCGCCCCCCAAAAGAAAATCGAAACTAAGTTGAACTGCTCACCCTCCTTCAAATTGAGTCCCGGTGTAACTTCAGAAGCCATGTTTACACCTGAAGAGACAGGTAAACAAACACAGTGTTACGCAAACATCGCAGTTATGACGAAACAGAGAAGTGTACAGTACAAAGTTTAAAAATCCAACCTTCTCAGGTCGTGTTGCTGCGGTCCTGTCCGCATGCACTTCCTCTGGTCGACTTAATGGTAATAAAGGTAGTCTATAAGTCCCGCTGGATGAGAAAATGACAGCTTACTGAAGACTTGACTTTACTTGTTTTGCTCTTCTCCGCAGCGTCCAGGCTCTGACCTCTCGGTCGCTGACAGGTAGAACGGAAAGTGAAACCGAGTCAAGATCAGGAAGGGGAACATTGTCAAGGCTCGCTTGAGAGTTTTTCGGCTCCGCCCCTCGTTTTACCCCCTGATAGGGTTCTACTTTATGATGATTTTAAATACACAGAAACAAAAGGGGGAAAAAACCCGTAAATTCCTCTTTCAAGTATCAGATTGTTCACACCATCTATTGTTTTCTTTTCCACACTTAACTGTAGGCCAGACCGACGTCACACACTAGACCTACAGCTCTTTAATTCAAATGCACTACTTCCATTTAATTATAACATGCATGTGCTATAATGATTAATATAATGGAATATAATCATAAAGGAATATATATATATATATATATATATATATATATACGTGTGTGTGTAGTTGTTTTTTTGAAAAGGTGTAAACAGTGACTCCTAACATCCAGCAGATGGCAGTGTGTGTCACAAGTTGGCCTGGTGTAGTATTACAGCTTGTCTTCGACGTGAATTCATCATTAGTTAAATCACATTTCACAACGTTCAACTTTACATTGAATTCAAATTCATTTTTAAGATAATTTTATATTTGACCTCTGAACTGTAAGATTCACTGAATGAGTGAATAAATTCCACCTTTATTGTGGTTATACTTCCGAAGTGTGTATAACATTTAAATATAGGACAACTTGTGATTCATGCTTTGAAGTAATTAGGCTACAAAAAAAAAAAAAAAAAAAAGGTTATCAGAAGCCGGAGAGCTTCTGGTTCGGATGAAGTGTTTGATGATCCAGATGCACGGCGCAGATAAACGAGCCAATCACAGTGGCTCCAGCAGGAGGGGCAGGCAGCTCTGCTCAGCAGCGCACCACAAAGTTGCAGAGCATCTCTGAGTCCCCGCCTGCCCGCTTGGCTTCACTTGGTATCTGTCACACCTGCAGCAGCCTCTGCCTCTCCTCCAAGACTTTCAGCCCGTTACTTTACCTCAACCTTTTTTCCCCCTGTCAACAGTTTGAGCGATCAAAAGGTGCGTCTCGACTCGTCTCAAAGATGCTGGCTTGTACGGAGATGATCACTATGTGCCTGCAGTCGGCCAAACAGAAGCATCTTCGGGCTCAGCAGCAACAGCAGCCGCTGCACACCGCCGGACAAGGGCTTACTATCTTTCATGATGTGAGTGGATCGACTCTCTTACTCATCCGTCACCGCCAAAAGTGGCATTTATCCACCAAATTATTGCAGCTATCCTTGTTAGTCTTCCTCAAATTATTTTCAGCATCTTAACTGTAAAAGTATAGGCAATATTAAATTGCATACAATCACAAATGATAGAAATATGTATATGTATTGGCCTATAGCACAGTTTACAGAGTAGAGTTGTGTTTTTTACTTTTAGGTTGGTTTCTTCCTAGAAATTTCCATGAAAGTGAAAACAGAAATGATTTATCAAACGTTCTTATCTAGTATATAAACATTACACACCAAAACAATGATACAGTATTTGACTGTGTGTGTGTGTGTGTGTGTGTGTGTGTGTGTGTGTCAGAAAGGAAAGTAGGAAGAGCTGCAGCTGCTGCCTCTGCATGATAAATTAAGCTCTCACAGTCGGACAGGTTTTAGGGGCTGCTGGGGGTTCTCCTCTTTTTGTTGCACACAGACTTCTCATCTTTCAAAAGCTTTATGCAACAACACACGCACTCACAAACACACACTCACACACTCAGACACACATATGTGAGTGTGTGTTTTATCAAAATGATCAACTGAATAGATAAGATGGGATTGAAGTCAATTTAGGACGTCTCGGATGGTACAGATTTTTTTAGTTTTTGACTGACTTCATCTCTGTCTCTCTATATATACATATATATCTGTCCCTCACACACACACACAGGGAGAGATACACACCTGAATACACACAAACATGGACACAGACACCAGTAACACCCACTGCCTGATTAACCTGCAACACTGTTCTAGAAACTATCCATCAACACAGTCATTATCCATCCGTCACATACTGTCTTGTCGTGGGTTAGTAGGGCAGCGCTGTGTCCAAAACTGACTATTACTAACTAACAGCTTTCTGTCTGCTCTGTCACTAATGCAGTGCACAGCCTTGTCTAAATAAGGACACATTACTCACATCTTGCAGAGTTGTCACTGTATCTGTGCACGTTGTCCCTGAACGTGGCACAGCACCGAAGTGCCTCCGCATTTAATCTTCAACCTTGAGTTTTTCTGTTGATGGAGCACAAACGCACCAATAGGCACACACTGCGTGATGGTTCCCTGCTCAAAAACATAGTTGTGTTTGAATTGCCTAAAACCGACTGTGTTGGAGATAATGGCATAAAGAAATACTAAACGCCCTACAGCCACAGAAGGACATGCTGTCTCGGTTTTGATTGCCTTTTTCGTTTGCTAATTGTGTCCTTTCTTTTTGTTATTATTTGGTGAAGGAGAAACAATGTGCAGAAGATAATGGAAGTGTTATAGGCACCCCGCATTACTCTGCTGAGACTGCTGTTATGGTATTTCCACCAGTCCCCACAATGTGAAGTAGGATGAATGAAGTCAAATGGTCAGATAATGAGCATAAAAACATACGGAAATATTTTGTCTGCCTGATAAAAGTTGTTGGTAAAGCATGTCAATGGTGATTGATTTTTAGAAAGAATGCCAGTGGATGAATTTTATTATTGCAGTGATACTAGTGATTGATTTTCAATAGTCTACTGGAGACGCTGTAAAATTACTAAATATAAGAGTATTAATTAATGTGAAAAAAGTGTTTTCTTTGTAATGGTCAGATCAGTTTATTTTGAAAGCATTCTTTCCAGTTGTACATACAACACTTTTTCAATTATGGAGCAATCAGTTCCTCCGTAGTAGGTTTATATTGAGTTATTTTCAAACTATAATGAGCCAGTTGTCCATGTAAGAGATGCAAAGATTTATTTGACTCACACATTCGCAAAGCAAGCGAGAAACAAAGCAATGCCTCAGAAGATGTCCTGTACAAAGGCCAGGGGCAGTTAATGATTCTGCTGATGGTCATAGGAGGTGGTTCTATCATCCACATCGTTGCTGCTTTTTTAATGTCTTTCTTTTGTGTATCTTGTGATTCTGCATTTCTGAGGCTTGCTTGATCACCAGCACTCTCTCTGATTTGCTCTCTCCCCACATGTCCTCCCTCTCCTTGATGTTAATCTTTACTCCCTCTGCTTTTGAGCTGCAGAAGCAAAAAGAAAAAAAGAAAAACATGCATGTAAGGAAATGTTGGGAAAATATACATATATTACTATGAATCTCAAAGAAAAATGGCAAGAAGAAAATATGGCCCATGTTATGTAGTCAACAGAATATGATCATTAGCTCAGGCAAATGCAAAATCTAAAGCCCTGCACAAAACAGTGTGTCAGCAGAGCCTGAGAAAACCCACTGTCTTAACACCTGCCACCATGACATCAGAACAGCAGCGCTCTGGGAAGCAGGTCTGACCTTTTCTGAGCTTGCTGTAAATGATGCATTATCATCTCCTGACACCGCAGAGCCCAAAGACACAGCCAAACAACAAACAAGTTTAACAGTACTAAACCTCTTCTCCATTGAATCGAGCAGGACACAAAAAAAATGCTGCTAAGCTGGGTTACAGTGCCAAAGGGGAAAAGAGAAGGCTGCTGACTGAGAGGGGAAATATGTCCTGTACTGTACAGTATGCACAAGCCTAAAGCAAGAATGTCTTATACCAGGTAGAATGTGAATTGTATATTCATGTAATAAATAACGAGGTTGGGAAACAGCAATTTACAGGTTTACAGTCACCTTTGAGTCTAGACAGATGAATCAAAAATAGAGCAATGTGTGTCTTGTGAAGTGGTTTGAAATGACCTGGCTCTTGTTATTAGTCAGGACTGACTCTGTAGAAACACAGACACTGACAGACAGAGGGCAGAAGTGCATACCTCGAGCTTGTTGACCTATGGAAAATGAAAGTGAGGGGGCAGGTTCTGCTGTTATTAATAACCTGTAGGTCAAAAGTGATGAGCATGTCAGTCCTGACCGCTAACAATGGAAACAACACACTAAGGGAGAGACACAGAATCGATAGAATAGAAGAGATGACAGTTGTTGTGTCATTTTCATTGCATTGCTTCTTTGCAAAATCGAGGATGAAGATTTAGTTATGGTGGAACTGTATTTTGAGCCTCTGGTTGACTATGCTGCTTATAGAATAAATTAAACAAATGATGGTGCCAACACATGTTCTATTTGGACTTTCTTTTTCTGCATCTCATAAAACTGCTGATTTAAGAAATGTGGTGTTTGTTGAATTAATAGAAATTATGAACTTTAAATTGCCCAGCATAATGCAGATTCAGTTTTCTTCATGCTAACTTAGTTTTTGTAATTCAAATTTTAACTTGAAACACATCTCGGTGCACATTAGCGGGGGGGAAAATTAGCATGGGAGGCTGCTGTTTTCATAGCTCTGGCTGCCGATTATATGTTAGTCACCTGCTTTATTGGTGCTACATGGGGCCACAGGGACTCCAGTTGACAGTGATTTATAATGGAGCAGGTTTGCCCTAGTTTTGTCCAATTATCTAAACCACTTATCTGACATGAAAATAAAGCTTATGATTGAAATTGTCACCCAAACTGCCCATTGTAAACATCTATTCAATTTTCAAGAGCTACTTCAAACTACTTCAACTTTGATCCGCCGTTCTTCAGTTGTGTGTGCATTTAACTTAACAATTCAATGGATGATTATAATAGGCGTTTTGGGGACGCTAACCTTTGTTTTCAGTGCAGATAAGTGGTTTAGTGATTATGGTTACACTGGGGGCTTTTTGAAACCCTGTCAGATAATTTGTGCGGTTGCCAATTGCAGTCTGTGGTCCTCAGATGCTGCCTCGTTGTTAGATCTCAGAAATTAAGCATATTGGAGTGATGATTGGAACAACTAATCTCTTTTTCTTTCTTCAGTATCTGTGTGTTTTAAAATCATATTGTGTGTTGCTGACGGGAATTTGAAACTGGAATTTTCAAGGCTGCCTGCAGCTGACTAACACCCCTCACATGGTCAGCCATATTGTATGGCCTCGTCTTTCTCATTGTCAGTATTGGTCACTCATGCATGCTGAAGTCGTTATGCTGTTGTTTTCAGATGATTTTAAGTTTATTATCTTCTGCCTTGAAGCAAGGCTGTATTATACAATTGCATTGTCATTGGTAGCTGTAATGGTTAAATCTCTGTTAAAAATTGTCTTTTCATCATCCAAAACACCACAAGTCTCCATGACAATTACTACAATAATCCCTGCCAGCTCCAGACTAGTGACACAAACGAAAAATAACAATCACACTGTCAATTTCTCATCAGCAAGAAGAAACAGTTTTTGCCATGCACAAATATCAACCAATCCTGCATTCATCCTTGTCATATTCCTCATTATTCAGGAGTCCAGGTTGTATGCTTTTTACACAATGCATAACTGCATGCACACATTATCTGTGCCGTATGGAAAGAGGCTGTGGCGCTCATTTTTTCCTTTTCTTGCAACTTAATAGTTTTTGAGGTGGTAGTTTTGTGTTTGTTAAGTATCCAATTATGCCCTATTCATTCAGAAACATCCTCATCATAGTTGCTTTTATAACAAATAAACTGACTTAAGCGTTGCTGCCTCCTTGATCCTTGTTAATCACGAGCCACCTAACAGTGCACCAGAAACCCCCAGTGGGAATAGAGTGAAAGGAGCCAGATCTAATGTGACTGTTCATTGTTGTCTGTATACACATGTCAACAAATTAGGCCGCAAAAGAACAAGCATCACATTGGTGTAATTTCAAGTTTCACTAACAAGCCATTGCAAGGTATGTGCAAAGGTTGCAATGCAGCAGCGGCCACTGGCCAGCAAATAGAGCAGACATTTTGACTTTGTCATAGCAGGGAAAGGACAGGTGTAATTAATAACACTAATGATGCCTCTTTTTAATTTAAGTATATCAGTAAATGAGCCAGCAAGGATGGTTTTGGGACTGGAACACCCGGCAGTAATTCAGCCATCATTAATGTCACTGCACCTGTGCTTTTCCTTTTATGACATGTGAAAATATCTGCAGTGAAAATGGTCTGTTGACTCGAGTGGAGGCTCGAGTGTTGCAGCGACCGGCGGGTGAATGCGGTATGCTGCAACATAGGCCGATGTCGGCAGCAGTAGCAGTGACTGATGCTTTAAAAAAGACCATTCTGTTGTTAGTGCTCAGGGACATCAGTCGGCCTCATGTTCCTACGTGAATCTATTCACCATAGGTACTATTGATGAGCCTGAGCTTGTAGCCATTGCTCTTATGTGATTTGTTTATTTTGATCCCCATTAGCTGTTACTTGGCAACAACTACTCTTCAGTATTAACAGTATAATCAACAGATGTTTACATATTGTATATAGTAAATAAATATTTGTAATATAACATCATACCCATCCCAACATGTGACATTCAAACTACAAAGAATACATGTTTTGTTTACAGTATTTATGTCTTAGTCTTCAGAAATCTGATCTTAAAATGTCTCCCCTTAGCAATTTTCATGACACACACACATCTGCAAGGGAATGACTATTTAGCCTCTTTGCTACTCAGCGGCATTACTTCCTTCTTCTGGAATGACTTCATTTACTTCAAAAGTGATAATTGTTAGACCTATTTTAGACCTGACAGATACTACCAAGTGGCATTCAATCTAAGATGACTCACATAAACAGAGTTACAGTCCTCTGTGAATGTCCTTGTTCGTGTTGTGTTTTTGTTCGGTGCAGCAGAACAAATGAACCTTCTACTGCAGTAATCAAACATCCTATTGTGTTTTTGACAAATTGCCATGATTCTTAATAATCTTTACCTTCTTACTGCAAGAATTCTTTTAGTGATGCTTGGCTAGATGTAATAACCATCTCCCCTACCTCTTTTTTTTTCAGATTTTCCGCCGTGCAGACAAAAACGGTGAGTAAACTGTACATACAATGTTCAGCGATGAATAATTTGTCACAATGCATGCTTGTTGTTTTCTCACAATCTTCCACTTGTTATTACGCCTGAGACAATCTGGGCGGAGAAATAAAGGATTTGCATGAATGACTCTTCAAGTGAGGCTCCTTTCCTCTTCATGCTCCAAGAAGTTTCTCTGCCCAATTAAAATGATGCTAAGATGCTGGATTATTGCCATGACTGGAAGAACGTGTCACACAAAATAAAGCACCTCTCTGTCAGTGTCAACACAGATAATTGTGAGTCATGTTAACTCAGCTTGAGCCAAGTTATTTCTCTAGCAATTAATCACTGATAATATGGCTTTATTATTAAGCCCTCATACAAATGTACAGACACACCTATGCTTGCTTTTACAAGCAGGTATCAGTACTTTCATACATTATTTAGTACCATAAAGAAGGTAAGTGTGAGGAATGTCATCTAAGGCTGACATTTTTGTCTGTCCCTCACAGAATTTTACATTTGTGTGCCCAAATGTCAAAAGACAATTCCATATGTGGCCAATTTAGAGTCAGTCTGTGTCACAATTCTAAGAGTGTCACTGCTGCTATATGACCATATCAACATGGGCGGAGCCTCCCCACACAATTATTTTCTTGAGCTGAACCATTTATCTACTGCCGCAGCTCCACCGGGGGCACTATTTGGCAGCACACCCATCTCATTGCACTGCTCCGCCCCAACCCACTCTGCATTCAACTCACTTGCTGCTGTAGTCTGAAGGGAGATTAGACACATGGTATTTTGCCCAGTCTTGTCAAGTTTTGTTCCCCATAGAAATGAATGGGAAGCAAATTTTGGTCTTACTGCATCATAAATAGTGATTCAAAAATCTGTTAATAAAAGTAAGAACAGAAACAGAAAAACCAAACTCAGCGACAAGCTACAAAAGTTGTGAAAGCTGATGATGAATAAAATGGTGCCGTTTCTCTCTTATTGCCTGCATATCCACAAGACTATCAGGGGCTTATTTTAGATACAAACATCATAATGTAACTTCCATACAGCGCCATTCTGTGTAGAGAAAACAATACTTATTTCTGTGCCACTTCAAAATCAGTACTGGCCTCAGCCTGGCCACCCCTATGAAAATTGCCTGGCTCGGCTGCTGCTGCATGTCTACAAACCAACCACTCTGATTACAGCAGAATACACTCATAACAGCACCCACTATACTATACCACAATGATGTGCATATGTCATGGGTAGTATAAGTGCCATTTTTGAATAAAAGGGTACAAAATACAGGTATTCATTGAAAATGTAGTTGAATAGTTTGCCAAAGATTGCTACCAAGATTTTATTAGTCCTGTCTTGCACACTGTAACATGAAATAGCTCTGTAAGATGACTGTTATTGCACCGTGTATAGGGGCCTTAAAGGTATGGTTTGTAAGTTGTGGCAATCAAATCACAGAAGCATTACAGGGGACCAGAGAGGGTTTGCTGAAGTTACAATTTGTCTCAATACCCCCTGGATACTCTTACACTGCTATATATCAGCAGTCGGGGATGTCAAATTCATTACAGGAGTTGTGATTAAATTACTTTTTTGTTGTACCTACTTTTCCTCAAGCTGTCTCATCTAATTTTCTAGTTATTGTCTTGACTTTGTAGATTTAAGTCCCAGGAAATGACTAAAATTCCATTTAGCTGTAGGTTATTTTCTTAAAATGAAGTACCATGTCTCTTGTGTGGTGGTGTGGTTTTATTGCAGCATGGACTAAAACAGTTACTGTGTAGTTCAGAAAGAAGTGTTTGTCTTTGTTTCTATGAGACTGACATCAGCACAAGAAGTTTGTCATTGGTTTAGATGTTCTTTTTCCTTGTTGAAAATGATCCCATGTTATGTTCTGCACAGACCTATTCCTTGACATTGCACCATAGGAATAAAAAAAATTGTCAAACTTGAATTTAACATTTATGAATGTGAAGGAACTTTGCTTTACTGCACATGAGATTCTAAGTATCCTTTCTGTATTAATGACTGTCCCCCTTGCCTCTGCTGGTATGGTGGCTAAGAATGCCCTGCCTAAAAATATATTTATTTCTGTCAAACAACAAATAAAGTGCCAAAGCAAATCAACAAACAGTGGACATCAACGGGACATTGTTCCATTTACGGCGGCCCGTAATCAGCATGCCTCCAAACAGCAATTACTTCTCAACAGCTCTCAACATTCGCTTTGACGATTCTTTGTACGCATGTAGTGAATTGTCCTGTGGCTTCCAGCCAAATATATTCACTGTTAGAGATTTTTTATTATAATGAGCTCAGCTGAGATGACTATCATCACTGAACCAGTTGTGGAGAAAGGATGGTGGAGAGAGGGAAGGAGGAGAGTGCAATACTCAAAGACAATATACTGCGCTACATTCATTGCTCTTAATCATTCAGTAATAAACACCACTGGGATTAGACTGTGTATGTAACATCAACAAAATAAAGATGAGTTATTCACAAGTAGAATGGGTTGAGTAATAAACCAGTATTATTTAAATTATGTCTGTAGCTGAACGTAATACAGAATGTACTGAGCCGCTCCTTTCATCTGTTCCTTTTATTAACATTTATTGCGTGAAACAAAGTAACAGCCAGTATGAGTAGTATGAAAAATAACAACTTAAGGTTCATTTCAACTGTGGTCTTCATTAGCACGTGGAATTTGTTCACTTCTCATGGAGATGGATCTGTTGACATCTGGTGCACTTTTAGGACTTTTTGTTTGTGCTGGCTTAAATGTTGCAGCTTCACTAAACAGTATTTTAGATTAACAATGGGTCAAATTACTACGTCTAAGTTACTGGGGTCATTCGAGTGTGACTTATCACACCACTCTCAGCTGTTTTGTACCTGTCCATCAGAGAACAGCAGACAGACAAAGTTAGTGACCCCAAAGCTTTTAACTGTATCACATGGTCTTTGAGCAACTGAGGGTCTAAGGGTAGAGTGTTGTGGTGCTGTAGAGATTGCAAATTTGAGATTTTGGACCATATAAATAAAATTTGCTTGACTTGACTACTGTGGAAAAAGCTAAGTGGACTCTAAGCTGACTGTAAAAAAACTGCAAAGAATTCCATCCATTCCATCTCAGCTTGTGTTTCCTGAGGTTTTGTACTCCAAGCATTTAATGGTTTAAGACTGACAATTACCCGTGCATGAAGTCCTGTGGATAATTACCCATCTTACACAACCCCAACGGTGCCACTGCCTAATTGGAAAAAACGGTCACAGATCAGCAATCTTGTTTGAAATTTGTATGTATAGCAGCTTAAACTTCAGGTTAAAAAAACTGTTCTCCTTATACAAATCAATTCAAAACTAAGCATCAAAGTTAGCTGGAAATGTTTGTCTTCCTTGTCCAGATATCCAGATCTCCCATAGATATAAGACACTTTCCAGTGTGAAAGCTTTTAATGAACCTCACGTCTTGCCTGACTGCTCCAGTGTGAAGGAAAAGACCAGTGAGCTTCAGACCATTAGTGAGGTGGAGAATGGAGAAGCAGTAGGATATGTGATCTAAAAGCAGCATGCAGGCTTAAATCAGGATATGGAAGCTAAAAGGCAGCTTATATCACAGATTTCCTCACAGATGGCCTGGTGGAACACATCCTAAGTAGAGCATTGATGCTAAGAATACCAGAATCGGAAATAGTTTGGTTATACTGTAGTGCATAGTAGTTTACCATAAAGAAACAAGACCCAACTCTCTTAGTAATGCTAGTTGCTTTTGAAGCTGTGATGCATTCATGGGAATTTATAAACCACTTAGGAGAGGCTGCAATGGGACTAACCTTTGGAGAGATAAGAGTGCGGCCTACTTTGTGCCCTACTTTACAGGACTTTCTCACTTGCTCATTTGGTTCTTGTTTACTCTGATCCTCTGAACACTTTGTTTAGACTATTTTAACTTTTTTTTTGTTTAACTGTAAAGGCCACGTGTGTGTCCTGCTGTGTTGAAGAATCAGAACACTTCACCATCCTCATACTTTCTGTCTCACCTTGAAATTCATAAAGTGATTTTCCTGCCTCAGTAATAGATAGATTTTGCTTCTGACTAAACCTACATTTTGATTTATAGCTACATTCTTTCGCTTTAATTAATGGAATTTCCTGTGCTGTATGAAGGCTTTAGCTGTTTAGATTTTTGTTCAATTTAAAAATGGCTATTAGACAGTTAGGTTGTGTGCTGAGAATATTCTCTGCCACATCTGCATTCAACATACTGGTAGTTTATTGTGTTCAAATGAAACAGCTGTACAGAAAAATCGAGTGATAAATTATATAGTTGGACCTCATGATCCCTGTACCAAGGTGCCAAGGTGTGATGTTTGATTCTTTTGTTTTACTTAAATTTTTTCTTTACCACAGAAATGACTAGACATGCAATATTTAAATGCCCATTTGTTTTCTTGTAGCCTTGTAGCCTTTTTATCTCAAGTCTTACAGCTTTTTGGACAGACTTATTCTATTTTACAAAACATGCTATAAAAAGTCAAATTTTAAGTGAACAAGACATATAAAGGTATCTTGTTTAACGAGCAACGAACATGTTTCCTTTAAAACCAGGTCAGCAACATTTGCTGATGCAGAGTACAATTCATTTGCAAACTATGATTTAAGTTATTCACAAGGAAACTAACTGTGTTGTTGTCTGAAAATGTTCCAGGAATAGCTTCACATTAGCTGGAAATATGACAGGAACAATGCTTCATAAGTTGTGTTCATTATATACATAATGCGTATGTTATGAGTCTTTTTTGGAATCGGTGATCTACTTAGAGAACCCATGTGCGTTCCTTATATGTCATTGGGCCATGCATGAATGATTTATTAATTTAAAGGCATCAGCTGGCGTTTGGGTTGGGAATCTGTTTAGTAACTAGATACTGCAGCTGCTCTGATAAGGCTGTAAGAGGATGATGTAGAGCCAACCAAAGTCAATGACATTTTAATGCACACAATTTTTGATTAAACAGCACTGCTCAATGGCTAGTTGACTTGCATTTTATATGAGAAAAAATACTGATTTGATTGTGTTTTTTTCTTGGTATAAGTTAAAATACATATCACACAGTTTGAATTCCATGGTAAGATATAAAAAACCAAAGAAGCATAGTATATACAAGCATATACAAGTATATCAATTAACATACATCTGCAAATTCTAGCGGAGAGATATAGTTTATGACTGCTATAAAATATGACCAATAGCCGGTTTGAATCATTAGGTTTAATATATCAATTCTAAATTTAATTTAACATTTTCCTCAACCCTTTCTGCTTATCAAGTGACCGCACATGGAGTCTTGAGCATGAAGTTGAGAAACTCTGCCCTGAGACTACTAATCAGTGCAGATCAGCACAACCAGTTCAATCACAGTGATAAATAACACAGCTGTAAGATTTTGTAAATGGTAAACATCACTTTCAAAATAATGCTTGACCGAACAAGGATATCCAGTTTGACAAATGAGTTGTTATATCAATTTCTCCATCCTCCCATCTCAATCTTACATCCCTCCTTAATTCATCATCAGTCACCAAAGGACATGCAAGTGATAGAAGTGAGGATGCATCAACTGCAGCTGAGAGGAGAGAGATGAGATGAGATGATGCCATCTGTCACCCTCATCCCTTTAGGACCTGGGTGGGATTATAAGCAGCATTGCTGTTTGGCATTTGATTAATATACACTAACTTATTTTGCCATTTCTTCACCAAATATAATGTTCACTAAACCTCTTAGGTAAGTTTACAATATATTCTATAGTTACAGGTTGTTGAAACTTGCATACATAGATGATGAAAATCGCATGCTGTTATTGAAATGTTATTTCCAAAAATGTTTTGGGTCACATTTTGTTTGTGGAAACAAATCTGATCAGAATCAAATATCTGGTCATATGGGTTTAATCCAAACACACAGATCTGCATTTGCGTGATAGTACTGCCAGTCCTTGGGCCACAGGCAACCCTTCACCTCCAGAACTGCTCTCCAAACCCTTCACTCAACCCAAGCGGACCCTCCTACTTTAATTTCTGTCTGTTTTGCACTCAGTGCAGATGGCAGTCCAGCTGGTCAGTGGCTGGGTTTCCATTTATTCACATCACAACAGGAAATTGGAAATTCAAAGGAGGGAGTTAGCCTTACTGACTCAACACCTCAAAATCAACATTTTAGCCATCTTATGAGCAAAATCTTTTGTCTCTATCATAATTACTGATGTAAGAAGAATAAATAAACCCATAGAGACCCAGACTTGTGTATTTGTTGCGGTCATCATATTTCATGAAGAAGACATTTAACCCAGAACTGTCAAAGTGAATAGAAGATACTGCCAGCAGTCATCATTAGTCCATCAAACGGATTATCAAGAGTGTCACGTCTGAGCATAACTGCTGCTTGTCTGGCACCCCAAATATAGGAAGCCTTCCAAATACAACACTGTACGAGGACAAGACATGTGGAGGGATCTATAGTCTCAGATCTGCAAACCAACTACAGATGGCATACCTCGTTTATGCAGTAAATCTGAATAAACTATATATAAAAGGCATAAACCATTTAAAATTGTGATATATTATTGCATGAATATATGGTATAAATGCTTGGTTCATTGCAGTATACTGAGAAGGACTGCAGTCAGCTCTTCTCTTCTGATAATTAAAATGTATAACGAGCTGCCTGTGCTTGTTAATTTAGTGGAAGCTGTGGAGCCTGGAGAGCAGTCTTTGACTATGCTTATCATGCTTGCCGTGCTTATTAGAAGCAAGATTTTTCAGTAAACAGTTTAAACAAAAAACATGAACTACAGAGTTCTATTGAGACATGCGTCAGCTGTATGTATGGACTCTATTGCTGAACTAGGTGTTTTCAAGAAAAGAGCCTTCAACTTAAGAATTAATATAATGCTCTCCTTGTGCCCTAGGACAGTTTAGTACATGATCCAGCACAATTACTTTCTTGTAACTAGAAACCAAAAATTGGCCCTTGATGACTCTAAAATACAAAATACTTCACTGCTGCATAAGCAATGAATAGTGTATGACCGTGCTGATACAAATGATGACATACAAGACAGTCTGCATGCCTGTGAACAATGCTGGCAATGTGGAGTGTGGTGCAAGATGCTGATGAACTCTGCAATGCACATTGTGTAATATAACTATAATATGATATATTTTTTACATTCTTTAACTTGATTTAGAATTTATTTCATGTTTTACTTTGTGTCTCTCACAGAGAAACAGAGATACATACATAGGTAGCTTTTTTTAGATTAAAAGTTTATCGGAAAAAGGGAGAAAGTAGGCCAAAGTGGTGAGTGCGAGGCATTGTCTTGGGCCAGCACATTACGCATTCTGGTCAGAGGTAATGATGAGGAGTGTCAAAAGATGCTCCAGCTGAACAGATGGTCTTCGAGCCTGCCCTTGAGTTTTCAGCTTTGCCGAGTCAGCCAACTGGAACTCTATCTGGCATATTAAAATGCTCTCATTTTACCTTGTCATTGTGGAGACAGGGTCATTATTTGGGCAGATTACTCAGTGGGGTTATGAAGCCAACAGTCGTCCTGCACTCAGAAGGTTTAGAAACGGGAGCCAAATAAAGAGTGAGAGAGAGTGGTGATAGTTATTTTATGTGTGCAGTAAAGACATGGATGGATGGCGTTTGTTTGTCTCATTAGCTGTCTGACCCTCTATGACAAAACCAGTCTGTTTGCATGATTCAACAAATACTTCGCTGTCATACTCATTTGTCTGTATGCCATTTTGGCTCCATTTTATCTCTCTGACCACTCTGGTCTGTCTTTCGTTCACATTGACTGACTGAGTGCCCAACTTGCTCCAATATACTTCTGATTGTGTTTCTGAGTGTCTGTCATGGCTCAGAAATATCTATCTGTTGGTTTGGACTCTTTTATAAGGATTAAAACATCTAGCAGTTTCACTCTGGCAGGCTAACTGCTGACTGATCTAACGTTACAGTATGGAATTTGTGCCAGTAGACAGATTGATAGTAGGCTCACGATGGAGCACTTCTTCACAGATGACAACCAAGCTATTTATCTGGTGTTATTGATTTTTCTGTGCATTGTCTGTCACAACAAGCTGTGCTCACAGTTAACTAGCCTGAAGAGAAGAAGAAAAATTCCAATCTGCTGACAATATGTAGCGTCTTCCATTTTAAAGTTACAGTTGGATTACATGGACTAATTCTGCCCAGTTTTTGTAATAATGCAATTTTAGTGATAAGGGCTTTCAGAGTTTTTCATTGGCTTAAACATGCGCCGGATATAAAGTTTAGATAATATATTTTGTGTTTGAGTGCATGCCATCAATCTGAATGGTGGAAACTAAGGATGAAACAATTATTTTTATGATCTTGACTTGATGATGAAGAGGCAACACACATATGTTTTACCCTTATTGTTGTAGTTGTTATTTCATGTTATAATGTCTATACCTCCTCTGTGTTTCAGATGATGGCAAGCTGTCATTTGAAGAGTTCAATGCTTACTTTGCGGATGGCATCCTGACTACTGAGGAGCTACAGGAGCTTTTCTACTCCATAGATGGCCGACAAAATAAGTGAGTTTTCTTATTTGGAATGGTTTCATTGAATCCATCATGGTGAAAAATGGCTAATGTTTTTGGTTTTATTTTATTATTTCTACAAGTGCTAAATTGCTTCACAACAGTGCACTTTTCAGTTAAAGAGAAGCAGAAAAGAGACAGCAAGTGTTAGGGGCTAAAAGGCACAGTTAATGTGTTCCTTTCAAGTCATCAGATACAGGCTAAATGCCTCACAGCTAGAGAGAGGTCCTCAGTAAAAATGAGCCCAGCAGCCAAACTCAAGCACACTGAATTAATGTTTACCCCCTTCCTTTGGACATTAAGTACTGTGGACTACACTTCAAAACCCACTCCCCCGAAATTGCAATCAAAGAAATCAGCCTGAGGGAAGCTGGTGAAATCACTGGTTTGCAGAGAATGTTTAACTCACTGCAGGCACAGAAGAAAAGGCCATGTCTCCCCTGTCGTGATACATGGGGTTAGTTTTTGTGAGACACTTTGCAACCTTTTTCCCCTCCACACTTCTTTACAATGCACCAGTACTGGAAGGCTAAGCAGGACTTTATAACTTGGCTGTCAAACCGTATGACTGTATTTATGGACTCAGGTAAAATAATAAATTCACTGTCATTGTTTGGTCTCTGAGTTTTCTTTGTTTTGCACCTAACCAATTAGAGTGAGTGTAGTGTTTGGCTGCAGAAACAGCTCTGCATTTATCTTTTATGCGTTCTATCACTGTGTGATAAATTACATTTGGACAGGATGTTACGCTGGGACTGTCACCAATGTGACACACCAGCCCTGAGACCTCTCTAACCACACTCTATGCTTTGAGGCAGTTAGTATGAACTGAACTCTGATGTCTCATTAAAAAGTGCTCTTGTTTTGAATAAAATTATTGTTAATTCTATAATATCCCTGCTGAAACAAAAGCATTTTCAACTTTTTTGAGGCTTTGGTGATAATGCTTTAAGCCTCATAGATGTGTGGGAACTTAATGTCACTGTCACAATGGAATTTTCTTTACACAACAGTGACTGAAAAAAGAAATGCATTGTTTTGACCACAGACGCTGTGTGAGCTTCCTAATAACACAAGCCATTATCCAGCTTCACTTATGGTCTGCATCTGACAGTGAAAATGACCTGTAAAATGCCATTAGAGCAACAGGGGAACTTTTTGTGTAGTAATGGTACTGCCTTTATCAAACTGTGATACTAGGAACAATTTAGCCTCCAATGTAATAATGTCTGCCATGACTGGTTAACAAAGTAGTATTGATTTAAATGTTTTTACAACAGTGAAGTAAGTTAAAAAGAAAAGCCACTATTACAATGGCATTAAGGTGCATAACCAGAAAGCACTACACTATATCCCTTATGTAGAAAAACAAATATGCAAATATGTCAGCTTGTGTTTCAGTTAATGAGAATGGTTGGTAGACTTTTATCTTGTGCATGTGTCTTCCTCAGGAGAACACTGTTATATTGACACAGTTCAGAGCCACAAAAATGTATCTAGCAGAAATAAAGAGCAGCATGACTTTGAATTATTGAATTGAATTAACTTTCACAATGCTTTCCCCATTTATCTTCTTTTCTGTTCTGCCCTGCAGCAATCTGGACACTGACAAGCTATCAGGTTGGTGGGAAAGTGCTTCGTCTGATTTAATGCGTCACAGTACATTAATTTCTGTAAAACAGCTGTCTTTAAAATTTGCCAACATAAGTGATTGTTGTCTTATAAATTGTTGTCATGAGTTATTAGTAGAACTGAAAACTTTAGAGGCGAGGTTAGTCATTCTGGAGAAAGATAGTTGATTGTTGCCAAAGTGTCTGTATTTGGCAACCTGGAAATGAGACTCAACATTCTCCAGAATGGCTGACCCCACCTTTTTGAGCAATGGTTTAACACTTTGGAAAATATGCTTATTCACTTTCTTGCCAAGAGTTAGTCATTTAGTGGTGTCAGGAGAAGGGTTTCAGAAGGTATTCGACCACCTGACAAGCAGTTCTGAGTATACTGGCACCTTTAGAGGTGCCGGTAAGAGGATTTTTTGACAGAGCCAGGCAGCTGTTTCTCCATTTCTCGACTTTGCGCTAAGATAACTGGCTGCTGGTGGTGGCTTCACATTTAAGTACAGACGTGAGAGTGGTATCACTGTTCTCAACTCTCCACAATAAAGTGAATAAGAAGATTTCCCAAAATGTCTAAATAGTCCTTTAAATCGTCTCTATTCTTTAGATCAAAGGAATAAAGAATAGAAATAGCACTGTACACTGCAACCAACAGTACCACCCACCTGCACCACTGATTTGTATCTGTAAAAATGAAGGAAAAACCTGGCACAGATCAATTGACCTATTTTTTGTATCATTTTAAAAATGCATGTGTGTGTCAGATGGCCTAAATAAAGTGAAGAAATAGGGCAAAGACCTGTAAATACCAGGAGTACCCAGAATAAAACATGTGCATAATTTATTGAATGGGAATGGCATCTTTTCCATCTGACGTCAAGAGGAGTTGTCTGTTTTCCATGACAGAATGTTCCGCTTGTCTCAGATTTAGTTCACTGAGTAGTCAATGTCTTTGTTAAGGCCAAGTGTTTCTGAGTGTTCAGGTAGATAACTTAATTGAATCTAAGAAGAGCTGCTGTTTAATTAACCTTGGACCTGTGTGTCATATCACGGCCGCTCTTTGGTTTAGTAAAAATAGACTTTTGATTAAGAACTAGCAACTAATTAAGATTAAAGTCTTTCTCTGTTTTACTGATTTGGTATTATGAACGGTTTTAAGAACTTTCCACACACATCCTTTTACTTTGATTCATTTATATAAATTGTTTTCTCACTTCTGTGCACTCCGTAATTTGCTACATAAATATAGACGTGTGTGGGAGTTTCTTTATCATTTTGCTATATCTGGTATCCAAATAATCCTTTCAGTGTGAATGAGCTACTGCTATAACACTACGTGATTTAAATGATGATTAAAGCAACACAATATTACTTTCATGACATTGTGAGCACTGACGCAATAGCATGTCAACATAAAACACATTTCTGTGATATTCTTACTGTCCTTGTCATGGTCATTTAATAGGAATGTGTGGCAACATATAGGTTTGTCTCCAACTTTCAGGAGTCAAAATAAACTTATTCTGACATTGCAATAACACTGACAGCTTGTTTCCTATTTCCTATTAGATTATTTTTCTCAGCACCTGGGGGAGTATCTCAATGTACTTTCAGCTCTGGAGAGCCTGAATGTTGCCATTTTAAAGGCAATGGATAAAACTAAAGAGGTATGTTAAGTTTTATGTGATTTTTGCCTTAAATCAAGTTTCTATAGCACAAAATATGCTGAGTGAAGACAAGTGGAGGGGTTTGTGCTACAAATATGCTTAGTTTAGTGCTGAGAAGGAACACTTGCACAGATGGAGCCAATGCTGCACCAATTCTCCCAAAACTGATGAGTAAACAAAAGATGAATTTCCGAAAACATTTCAGCCACACACATTTCCACTTACCAATATAGCCTGATTTTAAAGGACTAGTCTGATTAGTCTTCACTTAGTAGAATAAAACATGTCTGTCATAGATTTGTTACATTGTACCTGAGTGTGAGATCATTTTATCTTATCTTAAATTATTCAAATGTATTAAAATGTTGTCTCTCTGATTTCTGCTAATGCAGCTTGTCAGCTATGTAGTTTGAGAATCTATAAACAAAACTATTCACTTGATAGGCCAATCCCAAATGTCCTAATCAACAAAAAAAAAAAACATGAAGTTTAATGTGCAACCATTTTGCACAGCTATATTTTGCTCTCCAGTCAATATATTATTGAATTGCAGTTGACAAATATTCTACAGTCACCTCCACACTTTCCTGGAATCAAGGATTTGAATTGGAACAGAACAGAAAACAGCCAAGCTTGTTAACTTAGAAGAGGAGAGGAGATGTGTGCTGAATAATTATGCATCCTGTCTTAATTAGATCACCTTGCTCCTCTGTTCTGGCTCTTCTTTAAAGCTGTCAGAGTGGGGAAATCCATAGAGGATTGTGCAATCGCTTGTTAGCAGCTGTGGTCTGTCACAGAGTGCTCTGGACTGCTACTCCCATGATGCATTTTCAGTAGAGGCCACTTGTCATTTTGAGTTTTGACAAAGAGCTGTTACTTCACTTGCATATTGCGTGAATAAGACTCCTTTGAGAATGTGTAATCATGTTTGTGTTTGGGGACTCAAGCAGCAATTATGTCTCCTATTAAAGTTCTTCCACCTTAGAATTTGGATATGCGGTACTGAATAATGTATGTGTTCAGAGAATTAATTAGCCTATTTAATTGCAGTAGTCACACATCTCACAAGTGCCAGTAGTTGTTTTGGAGAAGTTATCAGATCATCTCTCTTTCCATCTCTGTGGTTTGTCTTGACTCTGTGCTTTAACCTCTCCTTCTGCGTGTCATTCTCCATCTCTCAGGAGTACCAGGGTTCCAGTGTGTTGGGCCAATTTGTCACCAGGTTCATGCTGAGAGAGACATCCAGCCAGTTACTGTCTCTACAGAGGTCACTGCAGTGTGCCATGGAGGCTGTGGAAGAACAGAGCAGCCCTGCCCCGTTAGTACTGCAATGACACTGTTTGTACTGTGTATTAGTTGCGGATTTCCAGACTGAAATGCTTTGGTGAAATGAAGATGATTCAGCTAGTGCTGCCTCAGAGTATTGTCCAAGCGATTACTCAGGTGGGAAACCCACTGGCTGATTATTGTTGGCAGGTCTCTGTTGCAATCCTGCATCACGACAAAATAGGACCTAGAAGTAGTGTGATGTTATTATAGTGCAACAAAAACTAGGGGAATCTAGAAACAGTTAACTAGGGTTAATATAACCATAGCGATCTTTCCATAGCCTTACCCATGACCGTGGTATCACCATAACTTAATGTTTCAGGTGCTTCAACTTAAACAAACCTCAGCAATAATGGAAAATCCAAGACAATAGTCTTTTTCTAATCATAAGGCCAAACTAAACCTTACCTTACCCATAGGGGTGGATTAGGCAGGCCAGAAAAACTTCAAATGGTTTGATTTGAAATAAACGCCTTAGTAGGGGAAGTGCCACAAAATATACAGTACTGCATAATGCATTAGAGTAACAGTATGTAAGCAGCAAACACATTGTCCAGAAGAAGAAGAATGACACAATACATACTGGGGTGACATTTCCTCTGCCAATACTGTGCTGTACTATACTGCTCGATATTATATCATATTCTCTCATCAATATTCTTTACATCTCTAGACTTTTTGCATGATGAAATTGGTGGCAAAGACCAAGGAACCCCAGTGTGTAGTGTGTTGTTAAATTTGGTTTTGGAAGGGTTCATGCTGATGTCAGTTTGTTGTATTGCTTAGTTTATTCAGTCCTATAAAGTATTATCAACACTAGCTCTATGCTATTAAAAATGTTGTCAGTGAAGTTAGCATTGGTTAGTTCAACCAACTACCTCAGACTCTTTCAAGGTAAACCTTTCAGCACAAAGCTTTGAATCTGCACATTCTCACAGTCCTTCAAACAGTTGCCTCACTAATAGGCATCCTACTTAAAATTCAATATTTCTGTCAAAGAGCGTTTTCATTAAATGTAAATGGAGCTCGTAAAATAAAAACAGATCTAAATTGCTGTCACCCATTTGGGATTTGATGAACCACTGTGTATGAGTCACCGCGTAAAATGATATTAACTGATTTCTGCAATGAAAAACCTGCCTCTATACCTCTATACACTTTTTTGTTCACACACAATGTAGTTCATCAAAGATCTTGTCAAAGGCTCCCACACATCTTTGATGCAAGAAAATAAATGCAGAGAAACAATCCATCAAGGACATTTAATGAGTAGAAATCTATCTCACCATAAGTCAATATCATGACAAACTGACTGTTAACATTTTAAATAACAAGGATACTTTCCCCGCGGTACATGGATACCCAATTTGGTCACACAACTTGCAGCTGGGGCTGTCTGTTGCACTGCGTGTGTCAGGGCTCAGCAGAGCTCTCCTCTCTCCCCTCTGGGTGCCACACTGGTATTATTGGAAATAATGGAGCAGTTATAGCCAAGGTGAATTATTGAGAGGGGACTGGGGGAGGCAGAGCGGGAGCAGAAAGGAGAAAGGATGATGAGGGTGGCATTGAAATACAGAGCATGTGAGTCATGGAGAAAGAGAAAGCAAATAAAGATGAATACAAAAAGTAAATGAATGACAGAATGGTGCAGAAAGTCTGTGATGAATGGGAAAAAAGGAGAGAGGGGGCGTACAGAAAGACAGGATGAGATGCTTTTTGGCCACAAACAAGTCTTTTAAGATTGTTCAAATTGGTATAGATTTTTGAAAGAGAAAGAGAAAGTGTGTGAGAGTTGGGAGGGGCAGAATTAGAGACATATTGAGTTGGCAACAAACAGCTTATTTCTCTCTCCCTCTGCGTCCCTGCAGTGGATTTATGGCAGTTGCAGTGGCCTTTGGGTTCCAGGCTGTTCTCAGCATGAGAACCTCCTAGCAATGCGCTCCCTCTGCGCTGTCAGCGTGACCCTGCGCACACACACACACACACACACACATAATAACGCGCAAACACAAAGACACAACAAAAGGAGTGGGAGAGAGAGGCACACACTGACAAGAACAAACAAATGTGCCCGGCCATTTAGACACACAGAGACAGAGACAGAGACGCATGCACACAGGTGAAATCAAAGTATGCAGACAGACGCTCACACACACATGTTGCGAGTTGTGTCTCAAGTGTCACACTCTCATAGCCACACAGAGCGCTTGACGCCTGCCCTTGACACTCTGCATTTACAGACAGCACAACACTTTTCCAGCTACGACAGGGCTGGCAGTGTGTGTGTGTGTGTGTGTGTGTGTGTGTGTGTGTGTGTGTGTGTGTGTATATTTAAGTGTGCAGGTGGAAGGGTCCATCCTCCTTAACACCCAGCATGTGGGTTAATAAGCAATGGTGTGTATCCGGCCCCTCTGTTTTCACATCTATTTTGGACACTTGCTGTTTATCTCTGGTTCTTGTGTCTGCACCATTGACTGCACTCTCTCTCTCTCTCTCTCTCAGACATCAGACATTAACCTCATCTCAGTTTCTGATTTAAATCAATTATTAATACATCCTTCCTTCCCCTTCTTTCTCCTTTTTTCTTCTCACTATCTTCTCTCTTTCCTCTTTAGTTTCATTACATTTTCTCTTCTTCACTCTCCGTGTGACTACCTCTGCCTGCCATATCAATTTCAGTTTTATTTTTTCCACACTTCTCTGACAGTTGCTGTCTTTCTCTCTGATGTTTGTTTCCCTGGGTCTCAACCGCTGTCACGGCAGGAGAGAGGTAAAGGCACCGGAGCTGACAGCAGTACAGAGGAATGGCAGGCGGTGCGGTCGCAAGGTCCATAATAGCCTGTGCATGTCCCCATCAGATCCCTGTTCTGGCATCCTGACCACAGGTAAGAAAAATATCATATTGTATTACACAGACCAGCTGGAGGAAAAAGTATGGTGTTTTCTAAATCATTGTTATCATCCTCAACAAATCCCGCAGAACAAAAACTCTCTCACATAAATATCTCAACACTATTGAACTTCCCTACTCTGTCTGTGGCTGTCAACCCGAAGCCCATTGGCTCCCACTGAAGATGTAACCTTTAAAAACAGGTCACAAATATAATCCATTTTAAAATGGATGAAGATTTTTTTTAAAACAGCTGGGAGCTATAGTTTTTGGCAAATGTTCTTCAAACAGGAGTAAATTGCATATTTGCTGACATCCTAGCAGCCAACTGTTGTCAATCAAACACAGACACCGACACGCTCCAGCAAAAGGAGCATTTCTGTTTTATTCCCTAAAGGCATTTTTTCTACCTTTAATGATAAAATGATACACAATACATTTGAAAAGTACATCGTCACCATTTTTCAACAAACTTGATGGGTACATAGGATTTCAGATGGCCTTTAAAGGTAAATTATGTAATATTTAGGTCGAATAGGTTTAGGTTTCTATTGGCAGAAATGGAATATAATATTCATAGGTATGTTTTCATTAATGCATAATCACCGCCACGTTTCTACAGTAGCCCAGAATGGACAAACCAAGCACTGAAACAATTGAGCTCTATGGCACAAAGCTCTATCAGGCTTTGGCTACACCGTACTTGTCCACAGGATGAATTTATTGGTTTTTTTTAGAACATCACCATAATGATCATTTAATTAAATGACACCATACCATAAATCAACATTATGATCATTATTTTAACATTCCCAACAAAGCATATCAATAGATACTTCTTATTGTTAGTTTATTTCAGTGATGTACACATGGATGATTCCCAAACTGTCATTACTAGTTTTGTGTATAATTACTAGAGCTGGACATAAGCCTTATCTGGATGATTTGTCATCTACAATCAAATTGACATTTCCTAGAGACAATTACTTTATGTTGATCCTCATTTATTTTCCTCTTCACTCTTATTGATAGAGTGAACATCAGATATTGAGCCTGCAATGAAATGGAATTAACCATGGCTCACAAAATACTTAAAATATAAATAATAGTAATACATTTAATTTTCTCAGATGCTGAATGATTCTATATACATTTTCCCCCTGAATCCTTCGAAACTGAATAACCCTTCGAAACAAGATACTTTTTTACCATTTCTACAAGGAAGCAGTTTCACATATAGGGCATAAAACCAGCTCTGTTGACAGTTTGGGAATCATCCATGTGTACATCACTGAAATAAACTGACAATAAGAAGTATCTATTAATATGCTTTGTTGGGAATGTTAAAATAATGATCATAATGTTGATTTATGGTATGGTGTCATTTAATTAAATGATCATTATGGTGATGTTCTAAAAAAAAACAGTAAATTCAACCTGTGGACAAGTACGGTGTAGCCAAAGCCTGATAGAGCTTTGTGCCATAGAGCTCAATTGTTTCAGTGCTTGGTTTGTCCATTCTGGGCTACTGTAGAAACGTGGCGGTGATTATGCATTAATGAAAACATACCTATGAATATTATATTCCATTTCTGCCAATAGAAACCTAAACCTATTCGACCTAAATATTACATAATTGACCTTTAAAGGCCATCTGAAATCCTATGTACCCATCAAGTTTGTTGAAAAATGGTGACGATGTACTTTTCAAATGTATTGTGTATCATTTTATCATTAATTAAGTCATGTCCAAACAGATGGTTTCCATCAGCTCACAAGGGCAAAAAACACCCCTTGTGAGCTGATGGAAACCATCTGTTTGGACATGACTGAATGGGGTGTCCAGACATTAATCAACTGATCAAACACAGAAAGAAAACTCTCAGCTGTGTTCCAGCTCCAAATTTTATATCAGTATTATAAAACATACACTACTGTATGTACTCCTGCTACTACACTTACTCACATGCAGTAAGAATTAGTAAGCACAATAGAGCCGGGACACAGATTTACATTTTTATTTCACCCTGATGATTTCGTGTTGTGTGCAGGTGTGAGCATGGACAATGGTGAGAACTGGTGCTCTCAAATCAACAGGCTGCAGCAATTGCTGGACAAACTGGAGTGTCAGGTATGAAACCGTTCCGTCTGTCTATTTGGAAGTGGACTACAGTGTGTTGGTGGAAACAAACTGAACTGGAAGCGTTAAGCAAAAATGGGCACGTAGCTTTAATATTTTGACTCTCTGGTCCTGGTGATTATCTATAGATTAAATTAATGTCTAATGTTCCCATGAATACAAATACAGTCATCAACATCAAATGCGGGTAATGGAATCAGTTTAATAGGAAATAACAAAATAACTGAGGCTGTGTGGGCTATTTGTTGTGCTGTCACAGCCCTGCCACTTCAATTTTTACTTGTGACAAATTATGCAGAGAATATGCAAAATAGAAACGCCTAATGCATTAGGTTTTCAGTATTTTGTTTTGGATCATAGAATATTGAAATGTTAAGAATAAGGAGAAGTAAACATGTGGGCTCCACAAACAGCACTGCAGACTGTGTATCTTTATTGCCTGCATGGCTGCATTTATACAATTGCAAGATTACTTACAACATGCGGATTTCACTGGACTAGGTCGGTGTTGTGTTTTCATCATTATGTTGGGGACAAGGTGTCACCTTAGTGCTTGAGTGTTTTCAGCCCTGATGTGGAAAACAACAGCCTGCTTGAACAGACCTATTGTGTATTTTCGGTCATTTCTATTATGTTATATGTTGAAAATGTCTATTCCGCTGGACTGACAGCACAATTTAGAGCACGTGTTTGTGTGTTGGGGATGATCACAAAGAAAAAAGGGTTGCACTCCCAGCATGTAAAAACTGATGCTTTTGTAAGAGTAGTTTTGTTTGTCAAACACAGAGCACAGTCATCTCACTGCCTCTCATCTCTCATTCTGTATCCTATGACCCATTCTCACTACCATGTCTGGAAACCTCTTTTCACGCTCTCCTGCCCCATCTTCTGCTCCATCTCATTCTCTCTCTGTCTGTTCTTTTCTTTATTAACTCCCGTTATTCCCATCTTTTGATGTTCAATCTTCCCCTCCTCTCAGTCTTTCTCGAAGCATTTTCTCTCTCTGTAGTCCTTGGTTTTGACAACCCAGAGGGACTCAGAGTGCAATATCAAAGCAATTCATAACCTGCAGGATGTTCTGAGTGCAATATCCATCCCCACACCTCAATGCCACCACCATCACACACCTTCTGTCCATCGCGCTCCCTTTCTCTTCTCTCTCAAATGCAACAGAATGAGTTTTCTGCCTCAAAGGTTATTGCCCTGTGTACACACACACACACACACAACACACACACGAACCATAACCTTTAAGAGTTATTGTATTTACTGTTTTTCATTATTCATAACATCATATCTTTTTAGACTACATACTGTATATATCCTACAGACAGGGCTTCCAGAAATAAATAACGTAGTGAATTACATGTTCTCCACTTGTTTTTCTTTAAAAGTACAGTTTTAATCTTCTCTCTGTAGTGTGGCTATGGCTTTATCTCATCATCAGCTATTACATTTGTATCCCCAGGTAACACAATGGCAGTAATGAATGAACGGATGTAACCTTTATAGGCCTAAATGGAATTTTACTTGAATAATAGTCTTTGAAATATGTTAAATCACACATATTAAAACACCAGATAACAAAAACCACAGTTACAGTGGTTTACCAATGGCTACTCTTATGTACCCCACCTTTGCCTGTAGCCTTCAAACAGGTGTAATTTGCCTACAGGTGCAAGTGACTGTGTGCAAATGAGCTTGATCAGTCATCTGTACTTTTATCATTGCATTACCGCTGTGTTGGTATGATGATTATTTTAAAAGTAGCTGATGTTTTAGCATGCCATGCAAAATTATGTAAAGCAATTAAATGAAACTTGTGGTTGCTACTCAGATATTAAAAAATATTTCTGTAATAACTCCAGATTAAACCAGAAAACATAAAGTGTAACATATTTGATGCATTTACAGATGAGAAGAAATCAAGTAAGCAACTTGTTCAGTGGTATTTTGATCTTCTTGATTACAAATACAGTGGTTTAATTATTCATGCACATACCTCCGGCATCACTGATCTTTCTTACCCAGGTGTTAGACAAGAGCTTCTTCTCATATTTCTTACCTTCTTATTTCAGGGTCCCAAGTTGGAGCCACTGAAAGAGGACACACTGGCCAGCACATACAAGTCTGTAAGTCAGCACTGATATAAGAATTTCACCTGGAATACTGACCTGAGTAAAGAAGCACCAACCAAACGTTTGTTTTGTGGCTGATGAACCTATTATTAAACCAAAATGTAAAAAGCTTGGTTATTGGAACGCTATAGTTTCAAGTTGACATTTAACAGGATCATTATTGTTGCTTAGCCACATACAACAAAACTAACATTTTATAGCACTCAAGGTCGATCTATGTGGTGAGTGGTTGCATTGTAATGTTGAAACCTGACACTGCTCAGCAGAATTGTCATATAGAATAACTCTCTTTGGCAGATTATTATATAATAGTTTGATTGCAGGGTTTGCAGACTGCACAATTCAAGTAGAGTACAAACTGATAGGACTAGCTTTACTGGATAATTGCTGATTAAAACAGTATTTTCACATTTTGTTCTTTCAAAAAGAAACAAACTCAGCTCATTTGTAGGTAAATTTTTCATATACAATGAGAGGTCAGTACCCATCCAACATAGTTCTGTCAATACCAGACTGTCTAAACAAGATATTTTTATTCAAAACATTACACCATTGCAAGTATATTCATCTCTCACTACATATTTAACTTGTAATTCATCCCCGGTAAGACCTCCAATTAGTACATTTTTTTCTGATTGTGTACACCCACTGTACTTACAGTATGTTCCAAAAAGCAGACAAGATATTATTGAAACTGTTTTTCTAAATGTCTAAATGTCAATCCGCACAACGTTAAAAATTTTAAAATGTGAAGTAAACAAGGGCTGGTTTTTGTTTATTAGGCTTAACTTGAAACAAGAGAGCTGTTTGAGTATATCTGACATGTTCGGACAAAAGAAATTCCTGACTCATGATCTACTTCAGAGGAAGACATGGTGTGAAAACACCCACAGACAGGTGAGAGTGTAGCCTAGTTATAGGTAACTATGGTGACAGTTATATCAAAGCAGCTATAACAACAGTAGTAATGTGAATGTCTGTTTTTACATGCTTCCGTACTGGTGGAAAAAGGGAAAATGATAGAAAGACCAATGTTTCTATTTCTCTGTTTCTTTTATGATTTTAGAATAAGACTTGTAAAAGAAAACCCAATAAAAAGCAATACTGAAATAAATGCACTTAGACTGTCCTTGTGACAAAGAGCTGAGTGGCCACATACAAAAATTACACAATTACACAATTTTCACTGTGTATATTCAAACAGGATATAAATCATTAAATCACAATTCAAATGCTTTTTATATTATTGATATTATATTTTATAAATGTTTATATTGTCTCACTCACCTTTAGTGGAGAGCCTGTAAAACTGAACTGAAGAGAATATAGAAAAAAAGAGTTTTACAGTAGTTCAATGGCAGCTCTTCACAGCTTCACAGAGAGATTTGTGCAGTTCAAATGCTATGAGCATCATAAATTGAATTCCATCCTCCTCCTCTATTAAGGTGGCGACAAAAATCACATTTCAGAGACTGATTATCTTTTCAATCAGGAGAGACTTTTGAATGAACAAATATATTTAATTGATAAGTGCACAATAAAGATGAGAAATGTGAAAGTCTTTGGCGATAAGACCCCATCGTGACATCAACGTCTTTGAAGGGGTTAGTGAAGCTGTGATTAGTATCTGAAACCCCCCGTGATGGAGTCGGTCACAGACACTGGTGGTGGTGATGAAGGGATGAAGAGAATGCTGAAGATCTGGATGTGATGAGGAGTGGATGTCTAATGAGCTCAACCTGGGCACTGGATGTGATGAACTGGAGGTGAAGGGGGTGGAGGAGGGTCGCAGTGATCTTGCACTGAAATGACAGCTGAAAGCAACAGAGACGAGAACAGATTTACAGTTTGACAGGAGCAACATGACTGGCTGGAGGAGATAGTGGCTGAGTCTGATTGGATTAACTGAAAGACTAAATGCCCATAGCTGATTGGAAAGGCGAGTGAGAGAATTGTGAATGAATGAGGTGTAATGAGAAGGTCTTCCTGACTGAACTTACGCTGAGCTTCATTAAAACTAAACCTACACATCACATACAACCAAAAATGTTTGGTTCTTTTTGAAATGTAATTGAACCAACTTTAAGGTCGATTCAAGTCTTACAAAAGTTGCCATGAGACAAGTTTCACGTTATAGTTGCAGAGGTGACTCACTCTTGCATTGAATTGTTGAGAATGTAAAGAGGGAAGCAGGCTGACATGGTGCAGTGGGAGACCACAAACCAGGCAGAGGACGTGAGTTCAAACCCAGTTTCCCTGTGGAGGACGCTGAATCTTTGAGGGCTGCTTTTTGTTATGTGGCTACATTGATCGATAAAGGAAAAAATATATATAATATAATTATAAGTGTCTTTTCTTTTCCTCTGTCAGGAGGTCCATGTATTTATATGCAAACCAAGTAATTTACATTTTCATTGACATTTAGTTGATAACTGGTAGAAAGAGTGTGATGTTGTGACTTCATCAGTGATCAAAAGAAGCTAATATGAAAAATGACTCACATCATTGAGTCACTGTAAGTTCCCATTGAGTTGAGAAGGAAAAGCTGTCATTTGTATTTTATGAGAAGTAAGTGACAAACTACTCTGAGAGACACTGATGAAGTATCATGGCAACACTGTTTTTATTGTGCAGCATTCTGTTATATTATCATGGTCAAAAAAGGATGAAAAATCACACAATTTCACTTAGATTACTTTACAGTCAGTGACTCCATCTCACTTTGTGCAGCTGTTTCCACTCAGGCTTTCATCTACAGTGATAAACAAAACTGAATGTACTGAAAAAAGTGCCTTAAGTGAGAGGAAAACCATGTGACAGAACATTTGTGTATTTATATCTCGTCTGTTGTTAGTAATAGTGAGATATGTACCCTTAGGAAGGCATAACCAGTTCCTCATCAAATGCTTCAGCGAGTATCCATCTTGACAATATCCACACTCGCCCGAACCTCAGGGGGTTGATGTGAGCTTGATGTCTCCTCACACACACACATACACACACACACCTACACACACACACCCACACACACCCACACATAGCAGATAGTTGTTTAATGTGTCATCTCATCTTGTTCCTCTCTTGGTCTCTTGTCTTGTCGCCAACAGAACATTCTGCTGGTGCAGAGGCAAATGTTGGTGACCGATGAAAATCTGGACAACTTCCGGAAAGTTTTGAAGGGCTACATTGATGCCACCTCAGCCCACTCTGACAACCTGCAGTGAGTGTCTTGATTTCAGACAAAGCGATATATCTTTTAAACGCTGTGTCAGGCTCTGCTGCTGAGCTAACTGGTTTAATCTTGAGCTAAAACTGATGTCCAAGAAAAGGATGGAAAACTGCTTCTAATGACAAATAAAAATTTGCATTCTATCATCCATCATCCTTTGATATTACAGGAGCTTTTATGTCACCCCAGACTGTGTTTAATTTAATAACAATTGAATATTTCCACAAAGTGACGCTGTCACTAACTTATTACATGGAAATTAGGGCTCATTTTCTTTTAATGCTGTCTGCTGTCTTGCAAGAGCTTTGCTCCCTCCCTAGTTCTAACTGACATCTCTCAAAAGATTCAGACTTTTTCTTGTAATTTATCCTTGCTGAGTGCAAATTCTCTTTCACTTTATATCCTCTTCTTGCCCCACTCTACTTTTCATCTCTATCCTGCTGTCAGTGTGTCCGTTCAGAAGCTCCCGGGAAAGTCGTGTTACATAATGTATGAGTTCTGGCAAGACCGCATCTCCTGGATGAGGTCAGTATGGTGTGTGTGTGTGTGTGTGTGTGTGTGTGTGTGTGTGTGTGTGTGTGTGTGTGTGTGTGCACGTGTGTTGTGTGTCAGATATTGGCAGACTGTTTGGCACTCTTAACTTTTTGATGGAAATGTTCCCCACCAGTAAAGATGAGCAGATGGCCCACCTCTCAGTTTGCGCACACACACAGAAACACACACACACACACACACACACACACACACACACACACACACACACACACACACACATACACACACATAGATGTAGCTTTAATGTTTTAAAATGAAATCTGTCATACACATATCAATGAATATATTTATCTCTCATTCGGAACGTTCGGAATTGATGTGTTACATATATACATCAATTTTTCAGTAATAACTATGAACAGCTTATTAAAACAAAATCATTTACGAATTAACTTACTATTTGTCAACATATAATAATGTCTATATAGAAAAAAAATAAATATATTTTCAAACTGTAACAAACTAGTGACAACTCTATTTTCAACAGGTGATGCTCAAGTCTGACTTCTGAGTTTATTTTTCTCTTTTTACCTTCTTATTCTTCTCGTTGTCTGTCTCTATAGCTACCTGCAGTCCAATGACAGTAAAGATTTCCAGCGCTGCATCATTGACATGTTGGAGGACGCTGAAGTAGTTTCTACTATGTTGCTCCCAGGTTTGTATACATATATGTCAATATGCTAGAAAACCAGTGCTGCTAACTCTGCTTAGTGTGAGATCAACACATGTAAGATATGATCAGATCAGATATGATTTGTACTTCCCTGTCTGCTCAGTTGCTCATTGGCTCTGTAATATGTCATTTTTCTGCGGTTTCAGAGACATTTCTTATCATAGTGTGCTTAGTCACTCAAACAGAGCCTTGCTTCTCCCCTGTGTCAACAGTAATTCCTAGTCTTTTGTAGAATACCTTAAGAACAATAACCTGGGTAGACAATAGAACTGAAAATGGTATACTGAGTGTGGCACAGGTATCCATGTCAGGGATCTGCTCATATTCACCACACATTGCATCGCTTTTAAATTATCTCTTTGGGCATCTTAGGCCAAATGTTGTTAAATTATATCTGCTCGCCCAGATGTCACAAGACATCAGTAACCAATTAATTCAGTGTAGCAGAAATGACATATGCTTTAGTCATACTGTTTCTGCAGATAATAGTGATGTAGTAACAGGAAATGGTGTGTTTTTTTTTTTTTTTTACAAAAATTTAATGCTTTGTTGCTGTTTGTGTGTTTGCTATCTAAACTAGCTCATCTATTATTTGCATTGCATTGTGGGACAATAGTGTACATCAACAGTCAACACTAAACCAGTGTTTTTTGAGTGACTTATGTAATTTTTAAAGTGTGAACACACTACATAGTCAAAACTTCCCTAGACGTAATATGTAATTGGGACACAGCTACACATGATTATCTTGACCCAACGTCACATTGGCTACTGGCCAACTAAAAGATAAGATTACTTAATGTGGTTTGTCGTGTTCAGCTTTTAAATGCATTAAAACATTAGGCTTGGATGTTGGATGTGTTATGATATGTTAAGATGTACTAAAACCTGCTGTCTGTGGAAACTGGGGGTCCATCCAGAATTTCTGGGCCTCCTGACAATAACAAAATTTTGCTTATTGAGCCTGAAGGTAGAAAATGTTTTCAAATCAGGCATTTACTGTGCAAATATTGAATATTTCTGAATAAATAAATATCCAAGTGGCGACATTCTCTCCAAAAACTCTGGGCTATGATCGCACTGTCTGTTGAAAGTGAGTCCATTTTGATGTTCTGCTCCCATGGAACAGATCAGATATGTATGCATTATAAAGGTGTAAACAGGGTAGAAACACTTAACATTGTCTTGCCTTCTTTTGAACACATTTGCATGTGCAAATAAATCCAGCTGGAAAATGTGTTTTTGGCAATGTGATTTCCATCTGACACATGCATTTTATGTTGTCATCATCATGTCATCGACTCCTCAGCAGGATCAACGCATGGCAGAGTAGCATGAATCACTGCCGCTCCAGCCCAGGCTACAACCATGACTCTCCTCCGATGTCTTGACATATGATTAACTTGTCTCAGGCCTCTAAATATGCTTCAGAAAGCAATAGTGTTAATTGTTATTTCTGCCTGTTTGCATCCATTGTAGATGGTGATGTAACTGTGTGGGCTGCAAGGGTTGTGTTTGTTGCTAGGTTACTCGACGTGGTTGTTTACTTCCTTATCTGTTGCTCGCATTTACATGCAGCCTGTTTCAGACAGTTCTGGTGTAAACAAATGAATCGGATGTGGGTCACTTTTAAAGGCAGGTGTAAACAAGATGAAAAAAGATTCAGATTTAGTCTTTGAGAAAAAAAACCTTTGTAGTGCTACTTGAGGATAATTGCAGAAATTCTGCTTGTGTAGTTCTAGTTGGAGGTTTGTCTTATTAATTATCCTGAGGAAAAGTTATTAAGTTATAAAATAGTAGAAGTTACTAGTAGGGGAGAATTTACTCTGTCACAATTAGTGAAAGTCCTGGCATTGAGGCTACTTGCTGGCTTGCAATTGGGAGGAAAAGGGAGGATAGTTTATGAGGTGCATGTCAGAAGTGCAGGAAGGAGTCGACTCTGGAATCAATAATAGAAAAATAAATAAAACAACATTCTGCTGCTCCTAGCAGCAGCTATTATTTTCTGTGCCTTCATATTATTATCTTTTCCAGGAGGAGCTTTGCACCAGCAGCCTGGTGTTTTAAGGACATTGTTATTTTTTTCAAACTTTCTGATTACCACTGAGAATCTTTTCACAGCTTAAGTGAATGCACCAGGAATGGCAAAAATAGCACAAGGTTAAACATACTTATATAATTTACTTTATCTGCCTTATGTTAGTTGGATTTTACATACAAACTGTTTGAAAACCATGTGCACACAACCTTATGACTCTATGTCCTGTATCTATAAAGCTGTGATCAGTTAAATCATTTTAATTGACGTTAATCATTTACACATGTTATCTGTTGATGCAAATGTTTAGCTGATAAATTGGAAAAAAATTGGAACCTGACAGAATTTAAATTAGATTAATGTCTAAATTGAATGTAAATGATTGATGTACCCTTACGCTTCCCCTGGGAATCATAAATTGCCTGATTGGTGTGAGGTGACCTGGCTCTCTCTCTCTTTTCCCTGTTTCCTCAGCTTCCTGGTGGATCATGACTAACAACTAACAGCTGAATCCAGAATGTCACATCTACTGCCTACACTGTCACACGGACAAAGACACGCTGGCGCATCAACCCACCCACCCACATGCACGCATAAGTACATATGCAAACACATGCACACAGAGGAATTCAAAAGGCATCCATGTGTTTCAAAGCAACAGGAGACAGAGACAATGGCAGCATCCAGCATTCTCCAGCAGCATCTTTTAATGTCCCTCTGTCTTCGACTGCTCATTATTGTGCCGCTTATATCAAAGGGGATAGTTTCACCTTATAGCCAGCCTTTAGACTTAAAAGTAACGATTCTCTGCAATGCAAAAGACAAGTTTTTTCTTTTCTTTTAAACTCACTTTATAACTCTGCAGTGTTTGTCTGATATTATGCCAGTGGAGAACAACCAAAAAGATGCTAGTATAGGCTACTAGAGCAAATTGGAATGAAAATGACCCTGCCAGTAGTGTTTTGTGCTTTTGATGAGTTGTTTACTGTTGAATACAATTAAAAAGGAGGAAAAAGCAGAGAGGATGAGGAAGACTTGCTGCAGCCTAAACATGCATGCTGATAACTGTGGCCAAGAGCTTTCAGTACTAGTTCCTTTAAATCCTGGCTGTATATGCTGTATGATACTGTAACACTGTTTTTATTTTAATTAGCAAGCCAGAAAAAGCTATTATCAAAAAAGCTACACCTCCCCTGACATATCGCTAGTATATTAGTTATATCTCCTCAATTTGAGACACGCTCTTTGTCTCAAATGTAAAAGTATTTCTGAAAACGTGCGTGACTAAGGGACTTAACACTTTGTGAGGCGATTTCATTGTATCACTAAGTTATGAAGAGAAAATCTATTTAATGTATTATGTATTTATTTTGATCATGGTAGAGTTTATTCCATCTGTACATATGGAACTCAGATATATTCATATTTCTGTTGTGTTTTGGTTGAGTAATGTACACCATCAACTGTAAACAAACTGAATAGCAACTTTAATAAAATCATTAAAACTAATATGTTTGTTTTGAAAAGTGAATATGCATCTGAATCTTCAGACACTATATCTCTGGATCCATACATTGTTACATTTTCTTCACCAGTAACTTGCAAACTCTCTGCCATTTGCTTTTAGGAGGTCATTTACAGTCGGTTTATCAGAGTTTTTTCGTGGGGGGTTGATAATATTAGACATAATATTATCTGTGGGTTATAACAAGCTCTCACAAAACACATGGCCATTTAATTCAATGCTAATAGGAAAAAATATTGATTCGCCATTGCATCTGAGTTGATTGCTCTTACCAGATATGTCTGAATTTAACTGGAGTGAATGTAGAAACCCAAATAATTCAATCTGAGAAAAAACAAGCCTGAAGTCTGTCACTCTGTCTCTCTCAATAATTATATTCATCAGTGTTCCTTGAGCTGTGAATTCCCCACAGTGCTTTGAAATAAGAACAGCACTTGAAATCAAACAACACACCTCCCTGACCAAGATTATCCAACAGTGTGAGCCAGATGCAGGAGATGTTTGGACTCCTAGTTACGCTCCATTGCACCAGTGGTTCCCAACCATATGTACTTGTGGCCTCGGCACAGGTTGGATATCTGTATGAGTTTTGAGCAGTTTTCAAGGCCTGAGGATGTAAAACTAACACGTATATATTTTGTTGCAGAATTATGTTATTTCCTACGCTAGCAACATAAATGTAGGAGTAGTGCGCTGTAGCATATGAAATGGTGCTTGGAATGCTGAATGCATCTAATCAACAGAACTCAACAGAAGTCCATAGGCATGTTTCCTGTATCCTTTGAATGACAATAGTTTGAGGCAAATGTTTTACTCTGAATAGCAATGAAAGTGCAGCCAGTATCTTGTTATGACAGAAACACATCATTGCTGAAATTGTTAATCATATATAATAGTTAATAAATAGTGCTGAAATTTGCAGGCGCAGACTCTGCAGAGGCTGGCACATTATTGCACTGATTGCTGGGGCTGTAATACTTGATTGCATGGTTGAGACCGAGTCTCTTTAGCCTCCTGTCAGGCAAGCTGTCTGCTGGTAAGGCAGAGTGAATATGTAATGGCGATCAGGGAAGCCATGTAAATGAGGCTCAATGATGTGAACAGAAGGTGTACTAACACTTCCTGTCCTTCATCTGTTCTTCAAAACACTGAGGGGCAAGTGTCACCACTACATCTATAACCAATAGTGGAGAGGAGGGTCTAAGTTACAGTGAATTGTAGGCAAAAAGGAAAGTGCACTCAGTAGAGTGCAGATCTCCACCAGCTGTGATTCCAATCTGAAGCAGTTGCTGATCACTTGCTACGGGCTGGTTAAGAGGAATCAGCAGTCAATAGCGGTATAAAAAAGTGAAGTCAATAAAATAGGTTTCTCAAAATTTGTGAATCACCGCAACTATGAGAGGTCGTTGAGCATATATAAATGTGAACAAAAAATATTAGGCTGATGGGTCCAGTAGTATGCAAAAAAGTAAATAGTAAGGACTAATACTGTTTGAAGTGGAATATTTCCAGCAGATGTCAAAGACAGATGAGGGGTGAAGGTTAATTTCTTGATATGGACAGATCATGTACACTTTATTGAATATAAATATTTTCCCCTTTTCAACGGTCCTCCCAAAAACAACTGTAACCCATGTAGCATCAACATTAATGCAGCTGCTAGAAAACTGATCCAAACACTGGTGTTCATTCAGACTTGTTCTGCCATGTTAATGGAATAGTTCAACACTTAGGGGAATACTCGTGCTCTCTTCTGGTGGTCATATCTATATAAATGACAACTATATGTATTATTAAAAGGTTAAAAGTTTGAATTTGCGTGGCTACTGTTGGAAATGCTGAGTAGAGAACGGAGATATGGAGGGGTGTGCCAATGATTGTTTTATAAATTCAATCATACCAGTGGATCTGGTGTGAAGTTACAGTTGTGACCTGTGATAAAGTGGATTATGACTCTAAAGAAATCAGAAGTTTCCTTTTTATGTAAACCTTTGTCTCTAAAAAGATTTTTTCAGCTCCTTATAACTTCCTGATGTACACAAGATTTAAATCCCTCCTGCAATAGCTAATGTTCTCCATGCCAAACAATGTGGATACCTGATTTATTTTATATCTTGGAGACACAGCAGGGATGAACTCGCACAGTCTCTGTTCCATTTTTGAAGACAATGTAGGGATCCTGTGCTGCTGCTGCTGCTGCTGCTGCTGCTGTCGGATGAGAAATGTGTATACTTAAACCACTGTGGAATGCATTATTCTTGCAAAATACAACCCAGGAGATTTGTGCTCAACGTTATATATATTCCAACAAGCTACTGAAACAACGTATGCACCAATGCATTCAATGCATTGTTAGATAAATAAATAAAAAGGTTTTCCGTAGGCACTGGCACATTATTTCTGTACTCTATTCATTCATTTCATATTTTCCTTTTATTATTTTCCTGATTGTGAAACATGCTTTTCTTTGTTTTGAAAGAAAAAACACAGATGAATAACCAAAGTCAAGGTTCAAACCTTGTACAAGTATTTCAAATCATACAGTTCTCTGGATTACACTGCTGCCTCTCTGTGCTGCTCTCCTTTAGCAGGAGAGAATTAAAAAAGAGCCCCTTTTTCATTCTCTTTCAGCCAGGTGCCCTTGGCTCTGACGTGTGCAAACGTATCTCATCACTTCAGAGAGCCAAGGGCCAGGGCTAAGGTGGCCAAACGACATCTGTTGTCCTGTTTCATTCCTCCCTATTGCCATTTCCTCCGCCTTGGTTACTTTATTGTGCAGAAGGCATCCAAAGTCAAAGCATGTGTCACCTCTCTCTGTGTTTGTGTCGGAAGAATAAAAGTTGCGAATATAAGGGATGGCAGGAAACCTTGAGGAATGCCAACACTAAGTCACTCGACACTTTCTCTCATCACACACTAAATAAATACATGAAAATTAAATGGGGCATCAGATAATAAATGATTTGTTGTGGATCCGACATGGTTAATTGCAATTTATCTCAACGTAAATCCAAAGACTGGGGGCCAAAGGTGACAAAGCAACAGCTGCTGTCCTATTTCATGCTTCGGTATCTCCATTTCTTTCACCCTGGAAACTGGATTGTGTAGGAGGTAACATGTTCAGAGGGCGTCTTGTCTCTGAAAGACTGAGTCACTCGTCCTCATTGACTTAGAGACTCCTCACGCTGATTTGGGTTTTACAAAACTGTACAATTATTATTCCAAGCTATAGGTACTCTTAGGATCCGACAGTTTACACACATAGTTGCAAAATAGTTTTTGCAAATGTTTCTAATGTATTAATTGTCCAGTAGGGTTGTAAGGGCTCTGTTATCTTTGTATTTGCAGCAGAGTATAAAAATCTGTCTCAAAATCAATTTCCATAAATGACCTTGAAGAACATTAAGTGTTCATAATAGCATTCTGTCAAAAGCCATTTGCAAATTTTACTGAGGGGCAGGCGGGGTGAGAGTGGGAGATGGGAAAGTAAGTCAAATGTCTGTTAGGAAAGATGTGAAGATGTGAAAAAGACAGATGGAAATGGAAAGTTTTATCTTCAAAATGACTTTTCAGTGTCTTGTGACGTCCAGCATGGGAGTAAGATACAGCTCCAAAGTCCTCTTTGCCTCTCTGTGATGGTGTACTGTGACAGATCCTCCAACGCGATCATGTAATTTAAGCATCATGCTGAGCAGAGGTGACAGACACGATGTCAGCTCCCTGTGCAAATTTTACTGAGTTTGTTTGCTGAGCTCACTGGGTTTGTGTGATGTCTTTGTAATTTAAACTGTACGTTTTATATTCTTGCTTTACTGTCCTCTCGTAACACCGGCTTTGTGTTTCATGTCTTAATTTGTTGTTTAGCTGCAGAGAACAAAGATGACATAAAACAATGATATAAAAATGAAATAGAAAGTACTATTTGCAGTTTTTGTTTAGTATGATGTTAGTCATGGAAATTCTCCTTCTACTTTCTTGTAGTGCTTGAATGTTGTCATCAGGCCAATTTGAGTTTGAGACCTCATCGTGACATTATGGTGTTTCTTGCATTTTCAAATAAGTTCATCAGTGAAATCAGTGGTTAATCCATCGCTTTAGTATTGCCATGACCTTTGGCACAGATGTTCAGGTTCCCCAGAAGATGAATTCAACTGATTCTGTTGATTCGCTGAGATTTTCCACTAGTTTCACATTGACATTTTTGGCTTTAAGTGACATAAACTGTTCTGTTTCCATGAAATTTGGTGTTTCCTCCAGGATGAACAGCTTTGGTGATACCTTGACTTTTGATCTACTGCCACCATCGGGTCAAAATGTTAATTTAGTGCTTTGGTTTATTACCAAATACCAGCAAAGCTAATGACATACCCACCAGCCTCAGATGTACTTTGTGTTGAGTGAAAAGCAAAATTAATATCATGGTCCTCATCTTATCTCCTCATGATGCATAAAGCCTATATATCTTGGTTGCATGCCTTTCTGTGAAACCCTTTGAACACTCATCTTTAAAGGAAAACTGCTTTACAGTATAGGCTTACATTAAATGTATTATTAACAAGTAATCCACTGGGTACTAATACTGTTTTCTAGTGCAACTACTATCTCTGTATTTATTCCGGTACACGTTGCTCTACTCCAACCTATTTATCTATATCTCATTGACAAATGCTGTTTTCTATATATTTAGATTATGTTATTAAAATGGTTTGCATGTGATCACACTTTAGTTGTCAAGGTTTCGATCATATATGTCAAGGTTCAGTCGGATCATACATATAGGCCAACATACAATCATGAACATTTCTCTTGAAAAAGTGTTCCATACGCAAGGCAAGTAATTAAGTTGTCAAAATGTAATTCTGTTATTGTGACATAATTGCCACATCTTAAGTTCATTGTAGAAATAGTCAAATGTAGTCCCTCTACTGTGTGGGAGACTGATGATTCATTTAATAAAACCATTAAACGGTATCACATAACAGACCACACTGAAAAAGATCCAACGCCGATGATGAGAATGTCAGCAACCATATTGTTTTCAGGGTGTGTTACAGGAATGATTCACTCTTTGTGAGTTGGTATCAAAGTAGATGATCTGAATCTGCAGAAGTGAGAAATGAGGAGATAAAGAATGAAAAGAGAAGAATTGTAGGGAGTGAAAGAAGGAGCAAAATATGTTTTCTGTATCACTGCTTTTCACACTGTAGTTTGTTTTCAGGTATCATGAGAGTAGCTTTGAGAGCAAGGGCAAAATATAAATTGACCTGCATTACTATGCCTCCAGCAAGACCTTGGGACAGAAACCAGGTACATAATTAAACCAGCCTCTCTCTCCACAATCATTGCGACATTGCATAGCATAGCATTTATTGTCAAGGAACAAGCAGAAGTAGCTCTTGCCGCAAACTGAGATGCCCCTTTGTCCCCAACAATCACAGAAAACTGTGTGTGTGTTTGCTGACTCTACATTTTCAGATACAGTGGTGGCACAGGAGCTATCAACTCATAAAAAATACAACAAAAACAACTTCTTTAATGCAAAACAGAGCAAAAGTTGAAACACTCTCACAAAAGATTAACAACTCCAAACATACTCTCACATATAAGTTGTTGTTTTTTTTGTTGTTTTTTTTGCTGTGCCCATGTAACATGTGAGCCACAGCATGAAACCACTAAATATCTTCAGCACAAAGCAAACGTCACGATCCTGCTACGACACATGCAGTTGCTGAAATAAAGAACAACACTAATTCTGGCACACACACAATTACCTCTGGACAACAGATGAGTCATGTTTCAATTTTAGTTCAACTAATTATCAGTAAATGAAAACTAGAACATAAATCTGTGTTTGAACAAATCATGAGACACAACTGACACAACCTCAGTGTCACTAAGTATATTTATTTATCTGGTGTACTCAAGTAAAATTTCCATTTTATGCTGTATGTAATCTGCTTCTACAACAACTCCATTTAAGAGGTAAATATTGTACTTTTATTTGACAGCTGTAGCTGCTTTGCAGATTAAAACACATGGTGGGTTTTATTAAATTTGATGTGTTGTTGTACATAAAACTACCCAGCAGCATATAAAGCTGTAAAACTAGTTCCACCTTAACTAACTAACAGTACGTGCATATAATGGATCAGTCATTTCAGACTCTGCACATCTTTGATAAAGCTTATAGTTAGGGCTAGCTCAGGTGAGTCCTGAACCATCCCTTTGTTATGCTGCCATAGACCTAGACTGCCAGTGGATTTCCCATGATGCACTTTCTCTCCCTCTCTATCTGCACACATTCATTATTATTATTGTTATTGTTGTTATTATTGTTAGTAGTAGGAGTAGTATTCATTCCCCATTGTTGTGGCTATTGTCTTCATCAGCATCATCAGCATCATCAGCAGCAGCATAAGCAGCATCATAAGTTATTTCTACTAGGATAGTTGTTCTTGTTGTTGTTGTGCACCTTTGTCTGTCTCTGTCCTTCTATCTTTTCCCTCACCCATTTATCCTTCTACCTCCTCTACCCACCTCTCTCTCTCTCTCTCTTTCCACCTAAAGCCGGGGTCTGACCGTGGTTTCTGCCTCTGGAGGTTTTTCCTTTCCTTGTGTTTGTATTTTAGAATATTTTATTTTTTATTTTCATTTTTCATTATTAATTCTTATATTAGCAATGAAATATGAGCAGCTACTGCTTTTCATCAGACCTTTCCAACAAGTCAACCACATACTGGATCTTCTAACTTAGCAAGGAGAGGTAAAGCAATGACTCTTCAATTCTCAAAATATAGCTTATACTTCCACCTTGTGGTTACACATGATATTGCACACTTCTACCATCTGCTGCCTGTTTGAATTGATGTTTCGCTTCTTTGATGTAAAACACAGTGATGACTAAAATAACTGCTGAAGTCAATGAATCCCCTACAACTACTGATCCTTCAATAGACCTTCAATATGCAGTGACTAGAATATTAATTAACTTCAGAGGTGGAACACATTATACATTATACATGACAGAATCCCCACCCACTTTCAGAATAATTCAACCTCTAGGAGAGTCTCCTCATTACTTCATACCTGGACTCAAAGATGCCTCCTGCATATTTCATCAGGAGTCACTGAATGATTCACAACGTTAAGGAGACAAAGAGGATCCAAAAATTAGAGACTTGTGTGGCTTTTGAGAGGAATCCCGACCTCACAATCTTTTTATTGAAGAAGCAAATGTTGTGTATAATAATTTAAACATGCTTGATGAAGTTACACAGAACGAATAAATTCATGATAAGTGAAACAAATAACTGCTTTTTAAGGAACCTTTTGTAGTTCCATGTGTATATAACAATGGTTTGCAATGAAAATGACTTTCAAAGTGGTATTTGATCTGCTCTGCACTTTCATTAAATCCAAGAGACTGTTGGAGCAGAGCTGGACACCAATGACCCAAAACCAAATATCTGAAATACTAAGAGCGCTGTTAAAAATAGCACGGCATTAACGCTACGGTGCTCATCATATTGCAGGATTGTAATTAGATAATGTTCTCAGTTAAGAGATAGTATAACCATAATAAATATATTATCATTATTTATTATATAACCTAAAAGGCTACATGCTACTGTATCAATACTTTTTAGTTTCTGACATTATATTTTGGATTGATGTTGATCAAGTACAGTTAGTTCTGAGATATACTGACTATACTGATCCATTAACTCCTAACATCATGATATATATTACCTGTCTTTCATCACATATTCCTAAAAATGAAGTCAATCAGAGAAAAGAAGAAAAGCAGTTCTGAAGTAATTCTATTTCTTTATTTCGTACTTCATGTCAAGATATCTTTTTTCATATGAAGTTATGCCTCATAACAAAAGAATGTGTTTAAAGAACGAAGAAAATCGTGGCTCACAAAATAAAGGCATTCTCTCATAATATTCTTTACAAAGTCATTTTACAACAAACAAAAACATAAACATTGTCTCAGTTGTAACAGCAGAGTACGATAAATCAAAGTTCCTCACTAAACTTTTGACTTTAACCTAACCGTGACAGAAGAAAAAAAGAACAGAATGATCTGTACATACAAATACAGTTTAGCTCCTGAGATTCTCCGTGGGACAGAGTCGCTGCTCTAAACCTGCACCACGGCAATGTAAGCACCAGTGAGAATTTTCTGCCTTTTTGTCATTTCAAATAAAGAAAAATGGATTTAATTTGTCATTCCTCCTTTTGTTGAAAGGAGTACTTGTTTAACAAACCACCCCTTGTCCCCTGATGCAAATATTGCAATGGTGGAAGATTTCTGGAGCGACATCTGACCCTGCCATACACAACTGGTGACGTGAACAACAAGTGCCAAAATTAAACCGCAACCAGAATAAAAGTCTGAACTGCATCTTCCTGCGCTTACTTGATCCAATCACCATCACCTTTCTCTCTGTTCTTTGAAAATGTCTGACGATCAGAAATGGAAAATAGTTTCTCATTAAGCTCGTTATAAAAGTAGATGTGGGGTTAGTGTATAATCATCTCTTGTTCACAAGGACAGTTGCAGGCAATGACAGCGACTCTCTCTTTAGTGACTGAAAACTTTGGTGATGCAGAAACGGCTTGAGATACCTGAACACTTCACTTTAATATTGCTTTGACAAAAGTAATCATACGCTGTACAATATTCACTGACGGCACGACCGTTTGACACACGCATTCACACATATGAAAACCTGACAAGAAGTTGGCGAGCAAATATTTATGTGTACAGATGAGCTGCAGAGACGACTCTTAATGTGGTCCTACAGGATGAAGACAGATGCTTTATGGCTGGTACTATTACACTGTTTACATTTTCCACCACCACCTCCCTATCTTAAATTTATACACAACAGAGTGAGAATATTGGTTTCGAAGAGGGATGTGTCTTTAAACCTTACTGTTTTTGAATCTCCTCTGTCTTTTCTCATATGCCTTCCTTTCATAACTTCCTCCCTGCGGCAAAAGATAAACTCAGATCAATCGTCAGTTTTTTTTTCAGCCCCTCGCAGATCCAAGAGTTGGGGTTTTTTGGACGAAGACAAACACGTTTCCATCTGTTAGGGAGATCTGTTCATCCAATAGATGCATTCGAGACGAGTCCTTCTGTTCTATGCCAAAGCCAAAGTCCCAGTTGACATATCACTCAAACAGTCATCCATAATCTGTCCTTTTTTATCTGCCAAAGAGTATGATGAAAAATCTGTTATCCTAACTTAACCCACAAATAGTTCCGATTTGCTGCTGATTCAGTTCTTCCCCGTTAAGAAAGAGGGTAGGTGATAACGTTTGTTGCTGATGTCCAATCGCCTCCTAGTGTCCATTGGTCTCAGGGGCTGAGGCGGGGGTGGAAGGAGTAGAGGAGCGAGAAGCAACTGAAGCCTTCTCTCCACAGGGGCTGGAGACCGAGGGCACGCTGTCGAGGGCCTTGACCCCGGCCAGACCAACAGGAGACACCCCGGCTGCTGCTGCGGCCACTGCGGCTGCCCTGCTTGCAGTTATGGCAGAAACCGGTTTGGGTTGAGCCTGAAGTCCTGGGCTGCAGATAAGGTGATGTCTCTCCCAGTCTTTATGCTGGCAGAAGGAGCCACAGTAGCGAGCGGCGTTGCAGCCGCTGCACGTCTCGCTAGCTTTGCGGCCACAGTTCCAGCAACACTGAGGAAGAGAGAAGAGACAACTGTAAGTCTTCACAGGACTGTAAGATCAGGAAAAAAGTGTATCATAAGCAGAATTTGCATCAGAGTATGCTCTTCCAAAATAAAATAGGAAACAAGCTCTGAACTTAACATTGACATATTATCATATGCGTTTTTACACATCCAGCAGACATGGAGCAATGTTTTTAATTATTCTGAGTTGTGTTCCTGGCCACCTGACAAATTCAAGTCAAATATTCACTTTCCTTTGAGCTCTGTTTTGCTGTCCACTGAGGGAAATGTCTAACTTTTTAGCTGCTAAATGCCCCACTATGTCTTTCTCTGTCTTCTGTTTGGTGCTGGAGAACAGTGGAAATTTGTAGCTTTTTCACAGAAAACATCTGTGTGCAAGCCTCTGCGACAAAGTGATGAGAGTAAAACAAAACCATAAAGTTTAGTCAAATGACTTGTGGGCTCATCACCCCATGTCATAAATATAGTAATTTGATTGACTTTTAATATAAAAACAATATTGTTTATAGCAGTAGCAAATATGACTGTGTACATCTTATTGTACATGTAAAAAAAAGAATCTGATGTATGCAGGCAGAATCGCTCTTTTTTATGCAGGGCTTCATAGAGACTCTCCACAATCTATATATCTCTGCTCACCTCACTGGAATCCTCCTGTTCATTGATGACCATGATGGCATCCTCTTGAGCCTTCCTCTTTGCGTCAGCCAAAGTCTTTTCCATCTTAGCCCTCTCCGCAGCAATCATCTCAAAAGCCTTCTGTTCAGCCTCTGCTACTGCTTTCTGGACCTCATCCATGGCCTGGCGCTTCACCTCGTTCACTGCCTCTTCTATATATCAGGGGAGAAAAGGGTGTCAAGTTTAGCATAGCTTGTTTAAAGTCTGCACAACTGCATCAGTAAAAATGATTGTTTTTGTAATCTTGATTACTGCTTGAGTGATATTCATTAGATTAGCATTGTAATTTATTATATTTGCATTCTCACATCCATGATTTTAATTTCACATTTAATGGTGTTCTTACCAGCTTTCCTCCAGATCTCATCTGTAACGTATGCTGAGCCTGGCCGTGGAGCAAAGTCGCGCTGGGAGTCTGCGGGAAAGGAGAGACAGAAGGGATTAGCACCTGCCAAGGCTTATAAAATATATTAAGATGATTATTTGTAGAAATAATAGTTGACTTCGTGACTGACAGCTCAATCAAGGTAACAGGTGCTTACAAAGAAAGGCCACAGGGGCAGGCAGTGATATTACCTTTGTGATTTAGTCTTTTATTTAGTCGTCGATGCAAACAAGTCTGCGTATCTGGGCCACACAACATAAATGTTGTTTATCAGAGTCTTGGACTGATCTGAGATCTGACAGCTTTAGAAAGAAATCTGTTTGGCTTGGAGGGAATTGCGGACCAACAAGCTGTGTCAACATTCTGTCTGTTCCTTCAAATCTCTCTCTCCCTGCATCTCAATTCATTTCTGTGTCGCTACCGGGCTCTGCCTCTCCAACACTGCCACCTGGCTCATCTCCTTCCCCATCTCTTATATCCTCCGTCTCACCACCGTTTTCTCTCCCTTCCTTCATTTGCATCCTCTCTCTTCTACCAAGCCTGCATACACCCTCCCTGCCGCCATTTCCACCCCCACTACAGTCTTCCTCAGCCCGAGCCCAGGCAGGCAGGGAGGCAGGCAGGCTTCCCGGCTGGGGGCCCAGATGGTGCTCTGGCGAGTCAGCCAGCTCTGGGTCTCTGAGCCTGCAGGACGGCAGGACCGTCCTTCTGTGGCCGATATGGCCGAGGCCAGTCCTGGCACCTGTCTGTGACTATGGACCAGCAGGGGGACGACAAGGCTGGCACTCAGAGAGAACTGTGCCAGTACACAGCAGACTGGGAGACTAACTGTGGAGGGACTCACTAACATACTGACATGTGACTTAGCTGCAATTCCACTGATGACCACTAGACGGTGTACAGAGTATGAAATGGAATAAAAGGCTGTCCAGTTGGAGTTCAGACCTTCAGTATCATGCAAGTACACCTCAGGATGTTTAATCACTATTATTATTTAGAATACACTCAGCATTTAGGTTTTAGTTTTATTTTAGTTTTTTTTTAAACTTGAGACTTAATGTAGAGAGAATGAGAGAATTGCTAATAGTTGGATTTTCCTGCCAGGAAACATCTGTTTTTCAGAATCTGCCGATTCATATTTAACATAAAGAATCAGTTCACCCAGATTAGGAAAAGAAAACCTCCAATTTGCTGCCATAACTGCATTTTAGTTGAGGTGAATGGAAATTTATTTGGTGGTGTTCAAAGCAGTATCCAGCATCCAAAACTCAAATCATGAAGCACACAAATAAAATTCTATCATGCTTTTGAGTGGCAGAAGTTTTAGAGGTGGATGATATCTGCGTGGCTGGATAATATTATTGGGGTCAGACAGTGTTTTTTGTTATTTGGGTGAACTGAGCCAACTGACTTCCATTGGCCTGACTTCATTCTCGGATTCATGAAGCAATCTTCTCTCGTGGAAAACAACAGGCGCCAATCTCAGAAATGGCAACAACATTACTGGTTTCTGTGGCACACCAGCATAATTGAACTGAAAATAGCGGTACCCACCCGACTCTGCAGAGGGGGGGCTGTGGGTCTTGGAGAAGGGAGCGGAGCCCGAGCCTCCTTTGCGTGGGTCCTCCTGCTCGCTCGAACGCCGTCTCCAGTAGTTGAGCTCCTCGCGATCGGACTCCTGGCATCGCCTGAGCACACTCACTGACCTCCGTGTCTTTTCCACCATGTCAACAATGCAATTCAGCACCTAGAAGATGAAGAAGGAGACACACCGAGTTTGCTTTTAGCTATTTATGAAAGGCATATAGCCAAATCGTATCACTATTCATTAAATGTAATATAATTTGAGGCCACTATGTAATAAAAATCTTCATAGCACAAACCCAAGAACCAGTTATAACATCTTAATGACATTATACGAAAATCATCCCATTCAGTAGCAAAACAACATTTCAATGTATAACATCCAGGTGATCATTGCTTTCATGCTTTGAGACATTACAACACTCCATAGCATAGGAGCCCAGTAAAACAAATTACATTCTACATTCTTCCTTTATCACAAGCTATTAGCAGAAGTGGTGTCTGTCTACAGACTTACATGGTCCAGATGCCTCCATTCATCAGCCCACTCTCGGTCTGTCAGTCTGTGGTCCACCGGCTCCTCGCGGTAGCCCCCGTTAGTGCCTGATTAAAACACACACAAGACAGACCACAGGCCAATGTGATTAACATTCTTCTTAATGTAAGAGAAGCCACAAGTGACAGTAAGTGAGTGAAAGGGTGATGTGTATATCTCTATCTGTGGCAAATCTGTGCTTTGTTAAGCTGACAAAAAAAACACTTTCCTTTAAAATCTGTAATACAGTGGCTTCATTATTTCACAGCTAGATATCCTGTGATGATCATATATTGGGAACACATATTTTCCTCACATAGGATAAGAGACATGACTTAATCAAAGGCAGCACCTTTATTACATCCAGAATTAAGAGTGACAGCAATGAGGTAAAGTAAATCGGGAATAAGAAACAAAGGATGCAATATGGACTGAGGGATTGTGAGCAAGAAAGGTGGGGTGAAAGAGAAAAGGAGAAGCCTGTGATGCAAAACAGACTTCCAGCACCCAGAGCCTGCACACATCTGGAAGTCAGCTGTCAACCACACACACACACACACACACACACTCCCCAAACTTCTCCCTTAGCACCTCCCCTCCTGGAGCTCACAGCATTCCAGTAGGGAGACACTCAGGCTGAGTGGAGTGGCTCCACTTCTAAACACAACCAGCCGGTATGACACTCACTATGGACCATTACAACCATGAACACACACACACACACACACACACACACACACACACACACACACACACACACACACACACACACACACACACACACACACACTTTTAGCCAAGTATCTGATTCCAATTCAGTTATTACACAACAGTATAACTTAAGCAATATCTAATTGTACATTTAACAATAATAATAGTTTGCACACACAAGCTTGTGCTCATGTCGAGCCCAAAAAACGTTTCAATACATGTCCATACACACAGACACACCAACTACAAAGACTCAACAAACCACAAACTGTTAAAATTGAGTAACAAACAAGCAACAAGAGGCCACACTATCCCTTCTGAAGAGAATAATGATTCCAGCATGCACACACTAGCTCACTAGCCTTCCCCCCGACCTCTTCTCTACTCCTGGTTCTCATCAGTGTTCATCAGTTCAAAGCCATGAGTGTGTGGACTGATGTGTTTATGTGTGTGTGCGTGTGTGTGCCTATGAGTTAAGTGGCGGCAGGCGGGCGGGAGGCTGTCAGACAAGGGACTAAGGCCTTGTAAACACAGCACCTCTACCATGAACATATCAAGGTGTGTTTCTGTGTGTGTGTGTGTGTGTGTGTGTGTGCCTGTGTCTGTGAGCTACTGCTGTTTCCACTGTGTGCTGACAAGCCCCAAATGGAGGGTAGATATACACCAGAGTAGATCCAACCCTCCCTGCCTGGACAGTATGGCTCTGTTTATACACGTGTAGACTCCTGAGATATATACGGGCACGGCTACACAAACACACAGACCACCCGTTATCGCTCACAGAACATATGTGTGTGTGTGTGTCTTCATGCATGTGCATTCATTTCTAAATGAATCAGCCACTTGCATTCACACTGCTGTGAAGAAGCCTATTATGGTAAATGTTTTTGGTGTTTAAGTGGTCTGCAGGAATGTTATTTGAGTTTACATGATTTGATATCTGGTTTAATATCCACAAGGATGTATGGTCGCCCACAACTGTGATTTATTACTGCCACAATGTGAAAAGAAAAATAGATAATGTCTGATTTGTTTTAATGAACTGAACTTTTCCCCACCACCACAAGCCATGACTCAGATTGAACTCATCACAAATTATGTGGAAAGAATAACTAAAATGTCAGCAGTCAGTAACCCAGCCAAAAAATAACTCAATAAGCATAATTTTGCAATATTTGCATCACGTACCAGGGAGTCTGGGCCTGTCTTTGAGCTCGCGGATCTCCAACATGCGCTGGCTGTGTTCGCGGTGTAGGATGTGTGGTGCTGCAATGTCATCCAGGGCGTAGTGCTGCAAGGGTGGAGGGGTCGGGTGAAGCTGGGTGTTGAGGGGCAGTGGGTGGGCAGGGCTGTGTCGGGGAGCAGGGCTAATGGTGCAAATTCGTTTTGCGGCGGGCTCCATGGCTACGGGTGGACGTTCGTGGAAACCGTTCTCTTTACCTCTGAAGAAGAGAGGGCATTGTGTGGTTAAGAAAACGAGCAGGAGGATGAAGGCCCCTTTATGTATGCTTCCACTAAAATAAAATACAAATTAGACTTTTATTCTAACCTGCCGGGGCTGTGTCTCTTAGAGCCAGCATCAGGAGGCTCCATCAGCAGCTCAGAGGAGTCTGGAGAAGAGGCCAAGGTGGTGCTTAGCAGGAGATGCTCATGCTGGGACAGGTACTGGGCTGGGGTCTGCTTGGCTGCCCGTGCGCAGTGGAGCAGCTCCCTCTGCAGAAGCGGCAGGTTTGCCTGGCAAGGAAAAAAAAGTGGTGAGGTTTCAATCTAATTCGCAGAAGAGTCTAAAGAAAGGGAGCATTGTTAAACGTCAGCCGCCTGACACTCGCGTATTCAGTCAAACAATCTAGTCACATACTCTTTAAGACGCAGGTAGGGACTGACTATTAGACTGACAGAGTTAGGAGACACAGTGCAGATATGCCTCCTGGGGAAGACGCCTGGCTGGGAGTAAGGGGGTTTTAAGGGGGAGGCACTGACTCCTTGAGGTCTGGCTGTAAGGCTTAATTTGGGTATGGGTGTTGTTCTGTGGCTGCCTCCATGGTGGCTGCGGCTTCCCTGGGCTCAAATGAGTTTTCTAAGCTGCTGCTGAAGTTGGTTACTAACCCCTTGCACATGGAAGGATTGCTAAACACAAGACATTGATCACAGCATAGATATGGACGTTGATACAGAGGCTTATAAACTTAGAAACATTTCAAAATAAATGATACACAGACGCCACTTCTCCCTCATTCCTTACTTTCTTTCTTTTTTATATATATATATATTTATCTGTGACTGTCTCCGTCGTATCTTTCCATCTCGCTTTTGTTCCCTGCATTGCCCTAATTAGGAACAGACTCTGGTGTGTTTGCAATTACACCACTTCCTCACTCCCTCTTCTCAAGCAACCAACTAAATAACCATACTGTTCTCATTTTGCGACTCTGACCTCCTCCGATCGTGTAGCGCTTTCAACCATCATCCAGCCGATTTTGTAAACCTAGACCCATTTCTCCTATTATCTGACCTCCCGACTACCTAATTCTTACAGGATCTTTGGCATTTCCCCTTATTGGTGTGCAATCTTCACAAAGATGCTGATACCTTTACTTTACGGTCTACTCTCTATAACACCCCTGTGCTCTCTTTTGCCCGTCTTCCATGCTCCTCTGCCTCCTTTCTTTCCCTGGGGCCCCCAGCCAGAGAACACATGTGCTGTGTGTCAGTTGAGCATAGGGCTCTCTGGGGTTCAGCGGGGCGGATGCTAGATTGGCGGCGCCTTGGCAGCTGAATGCTCTTTTAACGGGACAGCGGCTCCATATGGCGCACTGAAGCCCATAAAAAGGGAAGGGAACGCTTTATAGGCATGTTTCACACTTCCGAGTTCCCACTTTTCCCACTCTCCTCCTCACCCACCTCTCTCTCTCTTTTTCACTTCCTCACCCCCTGACTCTGTCCCATCTGTCTATTTCCCCCCGACTCTTGTCTCTCTTTCTTAAGACAGACTACTCTCAAAGAGTTGGAATCAAGTTGTGGGGACCCCACCCGCTCGCAATAAATTAGGAGAAGGAGGGGAACAGAGGTTTCTTGTCTCACTGACAGATGGAGGGGCTCCAAAGGTGAGTAAGAGGTAAGTGTGGAAAAAAGAGTAGATTTTTGAGTGCTTGAAGTTACAGCGGTGCAACTGACTGAAGATTTATGGGCTGCTTTACTGAGGGGAGCTCCTAAAAAGTATACTCTTGCAGACTCCCTTGGTTACAAAGGGGCTCAAGAGGCTGTTTAACACAGACACTCATCTGTTGCTTGTCAAGTCAACATGCAAATCTTGATAGTTACATTGAACCGCAGAGAAGCAGTTTATTCGAATAGGAAACCTACACATATGCCTATTTATACACTTTATTACTGTATCCTGGAAACACGGTAATAAAGTGTAATGAATCTATTACTTTTTCGTCATGACTCACAAGCCCTCATGCGATTGCCCATAGATTATTCAGATCACACTGAATGAGCATTGTGTTAATGTCAAGAACCTTGTCTTTATCAGTTGTTATTCAGTGATTAATAATCTCAGCCGAAAAAAGATGGGGTGAGGCTTTCAGCAAGGCTAGATGATTTGGAGAGGCCACATGGTTACCATAGGGTGTAAGGTTTACAACTTAACTGAGAGAGGGGAAGAAAAATACCGCTGCTGCAAAGAAAAAGGGAAGTAATCCAACGGAATAATGCAAAGCAAATATAGGAAGATGAAGAGGAGGTTGATGATGTGTTTACCTTGAGAAACGGAATAACAAAGGGCCGTAAGGGGAAGTTGGTGGCCTCCTGAAGCCGCGAATGGAACTCCTCAATGGTAACTGTCGAATTCTAGGAGACAGGAAAAGTGATGTTCAGTACACCAATTATCAATGCTACATGTCAAATGTTTAAAACACCACTGTTTATAAAATCCCTTGTCTGAAACAATGTCATAAAGAGAAGGTGGAAGTGCCAGATACATTTTCAACTAGAAATTATCTTTCACATGATAACAAAGAACTTACCACCAGGGCCAGAACTAGGCTTCGGACGCTGTCTCCAATCTCAGGAGAGATGTCATTGCCAAACTGCTGCAGTGTGGTCAGGAAACGTTTCAGCTTGCTCAGCTGGCGAGCCCCACAGGTGGCCGGCAGCTGCTGGTTTGCCAGCGATGAGGAAGAGGAAGAGGATGGTCCGTTGCTGTAACGCTGCGGTGGAGAAGGCACTGCATTCAGGGTTGGTGGGGAATGATGATTCCCATTGGTCACTGGGGAGGAAAGGTGAGATGAAGAGGGGAGAAATTAAGATGGTCCCTCAGAGGAGTAGACATATGCTTTCAGCTCTCTTGAGTAACCATGGATACCATCTGCAAGTCCAAACAAAAGCTGCTAATTTAGCTTATGAATACAAATACAAATTTTGAGATGGAAACGACGGGTAACATTACAGGCTTGCTGGGGAAAGAATCAAAGAAACTCTAGACAAGAAAGAATTCAAGGATGACCCTTACATGCTGTGGTGGAAAAGGAGGCCGGGCGAGGGCCGCTGGGGTTAACAGAAGGCAGGGGTGGCATCGTGGAGCTGGCGCTGCTGCTGGGGGCTGATCTGGAATGAGTCTTAGCATCCACAGGAGAACCGGGCATGGCAGGGCTCTTCTTCTCTCTACTGTCTGCAGAAAGAGAGAGAGGAGAGTGAGGTCAGCTGTGGGTCAAAAACCAGAACGCTTCTAAAAATACTGTTGTCCTGTGGGTATGGCAATGAATGAAAATCAAAACCAGGTTTTTATTCATAAAACAGCACACACACACACACACACACACACACACACACACACACACACAAATGTACAAAATAAGTTTAAAAGATATTTTTGGGGAAAACCATAAAAAGAAATTAACTCACTCAAGTGTCCACATGACAAATAAACAAGCAAATAAAAAGGACACTTTTACTTTCCCTATCAGCTCAATAGTTTAAATCAATGCAAAAACTTCAGGTCTATAGCCACAAAAGAAAACAAAAATGCCCACCCCCCAACCCACATCATACAACACATACTGCCCGGGATCAACCACCCTGCCCCCCCATCAAAGAGCCAGATGTCTAAAGTTTAGCCCCTCACTCCCAACCATTCAGATCAATAACAGAAGAAATGCTGAAGAAGCCTATTGTGTGGCAGAAGAATGCCCCCTCATTGAGCTCCGCACCAAATGGGGGGGAAGAAAAAAAAGAGACAGAGAGAGAAAGGGACGAGGTTATTTCACGCTTTACTAACAAGATCGCCAAAGCTTTTGAATGTTAAACGCCACTTCTCAATATGCTATTGCCACTGAATGAGACCACCAGATAAGGGGTATGGAGCAAGTGAAATGGGGGGTGTGGTAGTGTGGAGATGTGGGATCAGACGCTGTCTTTGTCTGCTGGAGATCCATGAAGGCCGGGTCCCGTCTCCATTTAGAGTGGATCAGACTTTTCTAACTGCTTCAAGAATGGACGATTAATAGACAAGCATGGTCTCACGGGTCATGGGTCAACAAAGAGCAGCTTTTTAAATGTGGATTCATGGTTTTAGGGCTTTGGATTCAATGGCACTCTTTATACCGTTTTCACAGCTATGAACTCTGCATGGCCTTGAGCCACAGGGTCCCAGTTTATAAAGGCGTGTTGGGAAGGTTTAAGCCCTGAGTGGGTAACTCAAGAGAACTCAACAACCTACATCCTTTGAATCAATATAAATATACAATATACTGAAATCAATGCATCATGAATTCAGAGAAAAGCTAACGTGTAAGAAACTTGAACTCTCTTTGACAACAAATCTCTCTCTCTCTGTTTGCCTTCCCTAGAGCCAATCTATCTGCACACTTTCTCAATCTGCCCAATGCAACTCATCTGTCATGTCTGCAACTCATTATACAGCGTTGACTGTTCTTCCTTCTGTTTTGCACTTCCACTTTACCCTCTCCGTTTCTCTGCCTCTCTCCCTCTCATTCTTTCTCAGCCCCGTGGCCTGCCTGCCATCGCTCCACCTGTTCACCAACACGGGGGGCAGGAAGGAGGGATCTCTGCAGACATTTGGACTGTCATACCCACCACACACGCGGCCTGCCAGTGCACCGCAGGAAGCAGCCTGCAGCATGCACACACACACACACACCGGTTCCAAAGCTACGCACACTCCATCCGTATGGCCAGGAAATTAGACTGACATCTCAATAACAGAATCAACGGGGCATATGGCCTTAGTGTCAACACTGTTACCATGTAAACAACTTTACATATACACAAGAGCTTGGACATCCAGCATGTGCTTTATAGTAGTGTGGCAAATGTATTCACAAGTACTTTGTTGACATGTTGACACATCATCAACAGTTCTCTGCTGGCAGTAAACAGCAGTTCTGTGTCCAAATTGACTTGTAAAGCTTCTTGTCGTCCCATTGTGTTTGACTGACAGGCCTACATGAGACCACAGAATATATACAACATGTCTTATTGTACAGCCCGAGAAATTAGGCAGCAGCTGCGAGCATGCAATCTTAAGATGTGGCATGGTTTGTCGTTAGCCCTGCCAGAGGTAATGGCCAATGCAGGAGACATCAGGTGTGTGTGCATGTAGTGCTGACAGCCCATAGAGAATTGCCTCTGCTTGTCAATTAGACAGCGTACATAGCTGGATGACTTCATCTGGCTTGCAAGCACCTGAGTCCACCACATATAGACACAGGACTGTCAGGGGAGGCAGCTGTCACAGCAGCCACAAAACACACACACACAGTGTACAAAGTGGTCTAATGTTAACTCAGGTGAATATTGGCTTAGAGGAGGATGTTTGTCTGGTCTAAATGCCACCTGTCATCACTGCTGTAATGGAACAAAGGAAAGGTACATAAGGCTCCTCAACACACAACAACAGGATTACGTGAAAATGCCACGATGCATAGACAACACTTTGAATTAAACTGGCATGTGAGCAAACTAATGCATATGGAATATAAAACTGGCAAGCAGAAAGCTTCATCCGCACTCTTTTAAAATGCTTCTGACAAGTCTGTCTGATATTATGAAATTACAAATTCTATCATACCATTCTGTGCAGCTGTCCTTCCTGTTGTCTTCCCTCATCTCAAACAGGTGATATACATATAAAGGTTTATAATCTTGTCAGT